TCCCGGAAGGGGTGGAGGGCAAAGCAAGGAATGGGGCCCTCATGTATGTCAGGAAGCATCTCCCAGCTGCACTCAAGAACATCCAACCACAGGACATCCCCCCGCCGGCACCTAAAACTATAGTGCAGGCTTTCCGAGTGGGTTGAAGGGAAAACACGGCCGACATGGAGATAAAACAAGCTGCCAAACCTCGCCCCCTCCTTCATCCACCTGATAAACAGAGCGGAGGCTAACACCATCCTTGCCACTGCCAGGAACATGAAAGGCCAAGACATACAAATCTAGGATTCCCAGGCCTTAATTTCCCCGGATCTGACCCAGCTAAACTCCAAACAGTGGGCACTGGACCTGGGGAAGAGATCGGGTGAGGACACAGCTCCTATACCCTGCCAAGCTCAGGGTCCACCTGAACGGGAAGCACCTAGAATTCACCAACCCCAGAGAGGCGATGAGCAACAGGGAGATCCAGGACCTACTGCAGGAACCACTCGAATACCAGGAGAGAGAGCATGATCTGCTGGGACACACCTAGGCACGGCACGAAGAGTGAAGCGGTACGGATAGCAGGTCATCCCCTCGCCTCATGCACCTCGGCCATGTGGGCCCCCCTCTCTTCCCTGAGACCTCGACGTCTGAGCCGTCATTCCAGCGGTCTTGGTGGATCCTTGGGACCAACGTGATATCCACCCATCACTGCTCCCCACCCCCCCTCTCGCATGCACCATCTCTGCAACTTTCTTTCTTTTGATCCCCCGTATAGCCTTAACAGACTGTTGGGGTAAGTGCCGTTAACAAGAACCTATGAAGGCAGAACGACACACGAGGAGGTGAGTGGCCAGTACCACACATAGCAGCCTTTGTCTCCCTAGTGGCAATGGCGATGTTTTTACGCACTGCACCGAGTTACTCATTTGAGGCCGAGTCGACCTAAGGGAGGCCCAGGACTGGTTCAGATAATCGTCATTGAAATTGGCCATGAGCAGGAATAGAACTCAGATCACCGGGTTCGCAGCGCAGTGCGCTAACCGCTACACTACCTCTCCCCACTCCACCCAACTTCACCCCCCCCCCCCATATCACCGCCTCTCTTACATCACGCATCACCACCCCACTCACCTTTCTCACCACAACTCCACCCGCCATAGACCTCCTCCCCGCCCACCCACCCCGATGCGGTCAGTAACACACCACTCTTGGGTTGTAGGGTGTAAACATTATAGGCGTGTTTGTTTTGCCCCCCCCCCTCCATCCCCCGATACCCCTTACGTTGTCTTGGCCTTGCCTCTTCCCCGACAATTGGAACACTCTGTTCGCGACTCATGCTGTTTACCATTGGGGACCATGATCCCCTGGGTGCCACTGTTGGCCCCATTTAGAGTCAGCAAGTTCGAGCCCGACTGTCAACCTCGCGACCTTATGCGACCTAACATTTGTATGGGGACCTTTTCCTATCGTGGTGATCCCCCTTCTCTGTCCTCCCCCGGGAGGTGTTTTTTTCTCAACCCCCCTCCCTCCTCCCCTGCACGATGACACTCTGTACTGTACCGCGCTCATGGGCAATGCAAAGCACACCACACCGGTCACGGCGGATTGCCTCATTTTATGGCTATAACCGGAGGACACTGAGATTCCCCCCTTGGGGGGCCGGTGTTTGGCCGCCTCCCCAACCTTCCCCTCTCCCCCCTCCCCAACTTCCTGAGTCAGTACTTCGCAGTCCGCCATAGAAACTCACGCTTCTGTGGATCGGGGTCAACAGCGGGCCCAGCCCCCTGGCCCTCAGACCATCCCTCCCTCCTTGATACACGATGCCACTGCCAGCTAATGGGGACACTTCCCTCTATGCCTCGATGAGGCCGGAATGTGAGGTCGTCCGACTAAGCATCATCTTCCTGAACAACAACAGCCTTAACCACCCTATAAAAAGACGGAGGACCCTGTCCTTCCTCCAGAGGCAGAAAGCTGACATTGCCTTCATACAGGAAACCCATCTCACTGAGCCTGAGTTAGCCAAGCTTAAAAGGGCCTGGGTGGAACAGGTTTTCCACTCTTTCTATTCCCAGGGATGCAGGGAACTATTAATTTTGGTCAGTAACAGAGGAACTTCCACCCCTCTCAAACAAAACACCCTCAGGGGAGATTTATCCTAGTAGATGGCTCCTTTGCAGGGAGGCATCTTACCTTGCTGAACATCTACAGTATGGTAAAATGCCTTGCCCTACCAGTGCTGCTATTGAGGAGAGAGTCCTGGAGTTTACCCTCTCCTCCATAGCAGTACTGCCCCAAGAGAGAAGGCATAGTATCGTTATGACTGGTTATCAGATAAATAATCGGTCACCACTGTATATGCCGGGTCTTGAAAATTTAATGAAAAAAAATGAAATTTGGAAAAATGCGTAATTATCCGAAATTATGTTAATAGATGCACTTATGTGCGTAAATTATGCTAATGTGCGTAGTTATGATAATTAGGCTCAACCTCCTTGTCGAGGGTTGTATTATCAATCGGTATAATACAATTATTCTCACTTTAACATTTACTGATTATGTCTTAGTGTGTTTATATCAGGTCTCCAAATTCAAATCTCACCGCAGGATACAGTTCTTTTAATTAAGATTAATATGCATTAACTTAGGAAGGCACCACTCAGACACTTCTGTATTAAGCAATTTTAATTTCTAAACAAACCTTAACACTCTAATATGCGAACTCTTATGCTTGGAATTGTCAACACAGTACTCCTGGAGATGTTCCCCTCATTGATCCATACATTTAACCCTCAATGGTCACGTTTGTTAACTGAGTAACAGTACAATCAGTTATTCCTCAGAGTACGCGAGCATACACGGCATATTCATACAAAGGGCAATAAAGAACATGTCCCGAAGGCAAGAGTAGTTATCAATTAATTCATTGGTAAGATTATGAAATTAAAAAAACGAACGACTAAAATACTGTATGACCATATACATGTAACTCAATGGGCAGCAATGTTCTTCACGATCAGTTTATATTTAACGCACCACCTTGGAATGCCAACCCTTCTTGAAACACAAAGATAACTTTTTAGAACAATCTTATTTGTCCCGATATGCGTGTTGTGTGTCTTCTTTTCCACTTGTTCAATTCTTTGCGTAAAGCAGACGCCGGGCGATGCGTCATGAGGGTGTGAGTGTGGGGGAGGGTCATACAAACGGCTTCGTTCTCTCTCTTGCTCGGGGGCGGCCACAGTTTCTGTCCACAGCTGGGTGGAAGAGTCGGCACGACGCTCGCCGTCGGTGCGCGATGATCCCGTTGTCACATAGCTCCCGCAGCTTGTCCACTGGCAGCTGTCACCCTGGCTTGGTGACGCTGGTGGGAGTGTGGGTCGAACCCACGGTGCTCTCGCCGGCGCTCTCCTCCTCCTCACGGGCGGCTGGTCAGGCTCTTTCCCCTGCTGGATGAGCCGAGTCGGCACACCGCTTGTCCGCTGGCAGCTGACACCCTTGCTTGGTGGCGCTGGTGGCGCTGCTGCGCGCTCTCTCCGGCTCCGTGCTCTTTGGCGATGCTCGATTGCGCGTGCAGCTCGTTCGCTGGTGGCAGACACCCTTGCTCGGTGGAGCTGGTTCTCTGTGATGCTGGCTTGGTTGATGCTTGGTGCTTTCCGCCCTTTCTCCAGGTTGATTCCTTGTCGTCGCTCGGCACTCTTTCTCTCTCATTTCTCTAGCTCTCTCCTTGATCGTGCAGCTGCCAGCTTCACACGGACACCCGCCATTACTTCAGGGCTGCGCTTTGTCGTTGCTCAACTTTCGTGCTCTTCACCCTTCTTCCAGGAGGGCTCTTGCTGTGAGCTGCTCGTCGCTGGCTGGATCACTCACTCTCAAAACTTGAAAATTGTATTTGCACGCCTCTTACACAACTCTGATAGCTTAGTACAATACAGCATATCGCAATCCTCGATTCTGCAAGCGACTCAAAACATCAGGATGAATGTAGAATAAACTTTCAGCGATACTCTGTCGGTCCATGCCAAACTCAGCACCTAACATCACCTCGCCCCTCTTTTCTGCAATGCACCACACGCATTGTTGATCTCGAGGCCATGCTCCGGAACTGGCTTGCTGTCCTCTTCCGAGCTGCTGTGTTGAGCTGTCCCTTGCCGAGCTGCTGTGTCGAGCTGTCCCTTGCCGAGCTTAAATGTGAAATTCTCTCTCCTCTCTCCGCGTCTCTTGCAAGAGAGAAAAAAAACAGATGCCCTCTGTCATTGTCCTCCTCCCGTGGCAGCAGCGGCCTTGCTGCCCCCCCCCTTTTGGGTTTGTTTGCGGCCATCTAATGAGTGACCATTGCCTCCTCCAGGTACCAGCTCTGGTATGGTTGCTGAATGGTATGAATAGCATTGGATCAGATTTGGGCAGAATAGGATGAATATAAAGTTTTCTACCTTGGTAAACACTTTTTTATCGTGCTCATACTGCCAGCCTTCGGTTTCTTGCCTAGCCATTGCCACAATTTCACACTTCTTTCGATCATTAGGAGAGTCTTTAGGGGTTCATATTTCGTTGAAGAGGTGACGTGTGTTAGTTTTGTTCATGTCCTGATCCTCATTTTCAGTGTTCTTACACTTTCAAGTTGAGAAGTTTCCACTGATTATGTTCTGGTCAGTGTCATACTTCTCCCTCCCCCCCACTATCGCATCTCCACATGGCCTCGATTGTGTAAATGGAAGGGAGGCTGTTAACTTTATTTGTGTTCACGCTACCGGAAGTGTGCTTTGCTATAAGTAGTGTAGTAAGGCTTATGGCTAGGGTGTGGGCAATGGTGATGATTGGCGGGGGCAGACACTTCTTTTTATCTGCTGTGCGTTCCACGACTCGAAGGAAATTACTGAATATTAGGATTAACATTGGACCAGTGGCTGGCAGTTTGGACTAGAGAAACGAGTTTTTACCACGGTACACAAGCTAATTTCTCTGAGTTTATATGGCTTTGCGTTTGTGTGTATGATTTTCTCTCTATCTCTCAGTGTGGTGGATGAGCTGGTGAACGTGGAGAGCGTGGAGCCGCCCCCGCTCGCCCCCGCGGCACTGGGCGACTCCGCCAAGGCTCGCTCGGTGATGAACGAGTGCCAGCGTCACGTGACATTTGCTCGCTCGCACTCCGAGGCCGCTCCCCCACCTCCCGATGAGTGGGAGGACAGCGTCAGCAGGTGGGGTCACGGGGTCATGTGGGGGTCATGGGGGTGTCATGGGGTCAAATGGCACATGGATGGGGGGGATGGCACCTGGGATGCAGAGTTGCATCGTTCCTTGAGAGGGGGGAGGGATGGCAATTGGAAAATGAGGATCACATGCTCCATTTAGGTCACATGAGGTATGAAATCTCATGCGGAAGTGGGGGGGTCATATGGTGCATAGGGAGAGGTGGGTTGTGGTACTTGGAGAAAGAACATCACATGGTTCGGAGATTACATGATGTATTGTGGGGGCAGCACCTGTAACAATGGAGTCACGCTGTACTTAGAGGCATCACATGGTACATGCAGGTCACATTGCGCAGGGGCAGAACTTGAGGAATTGAAGTCACACTGTGCGTGTGTTTATGTTGGCACAGACGCATGCACAGCATAGTGGGGACTACAGGCGGTGCGCCAGTCAGTCATCTCGGTCAACCTCGTCTATCCTGTGGCCTCCTGTCAGCGAGCCTTTGACACCTCCATATGGCCTTAAAAGTGTGTATAGCCTGGCACAAGCGCTGTTGTCATGTCACCACTGCTTAATGGCGAACGGCGGCCATTGTTGTGTGCAGGCTGGGGTGGAGCATCAGCCAGAACAAGTTGTTCACGAAGGTGGTGAAAGCCCTGCAGGCCGATCGGCTCACTCGTCTCGCCTACCAAGGGGTACGTGTGTGTACCCGTGTGTCCTGTGTGTACACGTGTGTGTGTTTACCCTTGTGGAAGCAGTAGTGTGCTACAAATCCCAGTGACCCAAGTTCAATTCCCACTTACAGCCAATACCAGTGATGATTATCTGAACTGGTGCTGGGCCTCCCATATGTCGACTCAGCCTCAAATGAGTAGCTGGTACAATGTCTACATCACTCAGGGTACAAAGGCAGCCATGCGTTTTGCTGGCCACACACCCCCTCGTGTGCCTTACCGACCGTCATAGGTGCTCGCGAATGGAACTAGCCCCAATAAGTCTGTTAAAGCTATCCGGAGGATCTTTGTCTTACTGTTGTGTGCGTGTGTGCCCATGTGCACCCGTGTGTGGTGCCTGTTATTTTGGTGACCCAGGTCACTCATGCAAAAGAGACATTATCTTGGTCTCTTGTATTCATTATTTTTGTTAGCTGAGATGAAATCCTTTATCTATGTGTGTATTTTCATATATGTGTGTTGTATACATGTGTACACATGTTCATGCGTGTGCCCACGTATCTGCTTGTGTGCGCGTGTGTATATACACAGCAAATATAAGTTTACGCATATTTTGTGTGTGTGTCTGTTGGGGAGCAGTAGTGCAGCGGGTTAGTGCGCTGCGCTACGGACCTGAAAACCCGAGTTCGATTCTCGCTCAAGGCCAACACCAGTAGCGATTATCTGAACCGGTCCTGGGCCTCGCCTAGGTCCACTCAGCCTCAAATGAGTACCTGCCTTGACATGTAAACATCGCCACCGGAGAGACAAAGGCAGCCGGGCGTGGTGCTGACCACCCACCCCGTCGTGTGCTGTGCCGGCCTTCCTAAATGCTCGTTGCGTGTGTCCGTGTGGTGTGTAGGTGAGTGGCGAGGCGGTGCTGCGCCGCGCTGCTGTGGACCGTTGTGCAAGCCGCGTACGCGCTGCGCTTGCGAGCTGTGGCTGGGAGCCACGACTGACCCAGTGGCTCCATGCAACGCTCATTGACTCTCTGAGCGTCGCAGCACTCTCCTCCTACCTCGACGTGCTGCAGACGCTACGCTCCAAGGCACGATCGCACTCACCACCATTCCTCCCTTTGTGCATGGTAGCTGGAAAGTGGTCTGTGCTGGCAATATGATATCAGCAATACTCACACCCCCCTCCGCACTGATGGTGCTGCGAGCACGCCAGGCACGTTTAGCTCGGCACGGAGCAACCAGTTTCAAGTTGAGTTTATTTAACCAGCATGAGAGCTCAAGAGACCAAGATAGTCTCATTTGCAAGAGAGACCTGGGTCACAAACATTACAACAGCAAGACAAAAGAAATTGCATCTTCATCTGCAGCTTGTCCTTGCCTTGCTGCAGTCAGAGCAATAGCAGCCGCTCCTCTGTGAGGTGTGTGAGAGTGGCGACACGGGGAAGCAGACGACAAGGAAAGCCTGAGGGAACTTTTGCTGAGAGGCTTGTCGAGAGGTTGTATCGAGAGGTGGTGTCGAGAGGAGGTGTCAAGAGGCTGTGTCGGAAGGATGTGTTGATCGGCTGCGTTGAGAGATGGCCTGATGGGGTATAGGAGGATATTGAGCTGGGTAGATTTGCTGATGACTGCTACCAGTGGAGTCAAGATCAGCCTCTATGGAGGAGGCTCTTCAAGGGCGCTACTGGGCAGTTTGAGGCAGTTCCTGTCCAACAACAAGCGGAGCGCCGGGCGGCTAAAACACAACAAGTTGGCATAGTAGGGAACACTGGAGGTGCCTTTGGCAGTGATCTCAGCCCAAAACACATGGGTCTGTCCCGTAACTTGGCAGCGAGCCGTCGACACTTCACGTGGCCTCAAGGTGCACCTAGCCTGGCACAAGTGATATTGTGACTTCACTGCCACTTTGCGGCAAACGGATGTTTGTTGGTGTTAAAAGGCTTTGTTGAGAGGGTAAGGTTGAAGGATGTGTTGCGAAGCTGTCATTGGTTGACTGTAGTGAGTGAGCGAGTGTGTGGAGAGGGTCAGTTGAATGGTTGTGCTTGCCCCCCCAGGTCCCGTCGCTGGTGGACCGCATGATCGCCCCGTCCACTACCAAGTCGGAGGCCACGAGCGCCGAGGCGCTGTCCCTCCTCCTCAAGCGCCCGTGGGACCCCGCAGTGGGACTCCTGTCTCAATACAAACCGGTACGGGGACACAGACACGGGTATACGAAGACATGGGGACACGGAGACATGGGAACACAGACATGTGAGGGGTGGACAGTCCTCTACTCGGGGCAGGAGACTGCCAAACAACAGGGAGTGGCTCTTCTTCTGAACAAAAGAATGAAGGAGGCGTGGGAGCATGGCGGTGAGGTGTGGGAAGGTGTAAGCTGCAGGCTACTTTGGGCTCGCCTTCCCATCAATCGGAGGCGAGGAGTGGTGGTCGTGGTTACTTATGCCCCCACCGAAGACGTACATCCATGGAGGGATGCATGCAAGGCCGATGAGTCAGATGCATTCTATGACCTCCTGTCACAGGTGCTGGCTAAAGTGGCCCCTCGGGATAGAGTCATCTTGTTAAGTGACTTCAATGCCCGAGTTGGTCATGATGCTGGTACCTGGTCTGGAGTGATTGGAAGGCATGGGCCAGATTAGCTCAATAACAACGGTAGGAGGCTGCTAGATTTTTGTGCAGCCCATGGGCTTGTAATTACCAACACGCTGTTCCGGCATTGCCGCATCCACACAACGTCATGGATGCATGCCGGGTCCAAGCAAGAACATCTGCTGGACTACATAGTGACGGATCAGCGGATGCGATCCCATGTCCTTGACACCAGGACCTACCTTGGAGCTGATCTGCCCTCTGACCATCGACTAGTCATCTGTAAGATGCGCCTGCCATTCTTCCACTCCGGTGGTGGGTGTACACCCAGGACCCCATTCCAACCTAAGGTGGCCTGGTCTCAGCTGATGAAAGTTGCAAGCGAGAATTTCATCATCGCTTGCGGCTGGGGTTGGCATCGTCCCCCACTCCTCCTGATGTCGAGGGTAAATGGGGGAGGTTTAGGACTGTGACTCATGCAGCTGCAATGGCTGCTTTGGATACGTGGTCCAGACCTCCCCAGAGACTCTGGCTGACAGAGGAGGTGTTTAGGATGGTTGAGAAAAAGTGACAGGCCCACTCTAATCGTCTACAGCATCCCACGTCAGAGAATGAGGAGGCTTACCGCAGCCTTCGCTCGGAGGTTCGGAGAGCCGTGAGGCGCTGCAAGGATGGGTGGTGGTTGCGGGTTGCTGAGTCGATGGAGTCTGCCTCAGTGGCCCCCGATCACAAATCCCTATTTAACTCCATCAAAAAAGTAACCTGCAGCACCACACCTATTACCATCATTAGGGCAAAGAACGATGATCCAATCTCTGACCCCCAGGAACAGGTTTGCAGATTTGCTGAGCATTTCTGTGAGGTCCTGGGGGAGGGGGAATTCCTCAACCTGGAAAACATCATGGGACAAAGTGGGGATGACCCTGCTGAGGCTGCGGTGCCTCAAATATTGGAGGAGGAAGTCACCCCCTGGGAGTGGCTGGTTGAGGTGCCATCCGCTGAGGAAGTACTGAAGGCGATCCAGAGTTTGAGACCAGGAAAGGCACCGGGCAGAGATGATCTCCCAAGCGAAATGCTGAGGGAGGGTGGCATTTGTGCGCAGACTGCCCTACATGACATCATAACAACAGTCTGGGCCACTGAACGGGTTCCGCAGGATTGGAAGGATGCCCTGGTATTCCCCCTCTTTAAGAAGGGGGACCGCACAGACTGTAACAACTACAGGGGAATCTCACTCCTCAGTGTGCCGGGAAAGGTCCTGGCAAGGATTATTCAACATCGCCTTGCTAGGCACGCTGAGGAGAGGCTTGCGGAGCCCCAATGCGGTTTCAGGAAAGGGCGGTCCTGCACAGATGCCATATTTTTTGTCCGTTTGCTACAGCAGAAGTGTAGGGAATTCCAACAAGACCTACATCTCTGCTTTATTGACCTGGTCAAAGCCTATGATACCATCAATAGGCCTGGGCTCTGGGTTGTTCCTCGTGCTTTCAGAGTCCCTTACCTTCTGCTGACGCTCATTAAGGACCCTCATGATGGTGAGCAGGCCCGGGTAAAACTACATGGCTGGGAGTCAGAGCCATTCCCTGTACACCTTGGGGTGCGACAGGGATGTCCTCTGGCTCCAACATTATTTAAAATCTATTTCGACCACATAGTTCGTGAAGCCTTCAGTAGCTGTACCGGAGGAATTTCCATCTGGTACAGATACAATGGGAGGCTGATCGATGCCCCGGTGCGGTCAAGGGATGGCACCCTATTGGTCAACCACGTTATGTATGCCGGCGACCTGGTAATTGCGGCTCACTCAGAGGAGGAGTTAGAGGCGCTGCTGCTGAAACTGGAGCATGCCACTAAGAGGTGGGGCCTTACTATCAGCCCAACCAAAACGAAGCACCTGCCTAGGTATTTTGTACCATCGGGCACTCCTCCCCCACAACTCCCAATCAGTGATGGGGCAGTTGTGGAGAGAGTGGAGAGTTTCCCATACCTGGGCAGAGTGCTCATGACCGGCTCCGGTTTAATAGCAGAGATCTCACTCCAAATCAGTTGAGCGGCATTATTTTTTCATCGGTTGCGTAACGCTGTGTGGAAGCTGCCTGGTCTGTCGCTCCGCACAAAGCTTCAGGTCTTCTCGGCCACGGTCATTCTCTCCCTTCTCTACACTTGCGAAACGTGGATCCCCCTAATGGAACATCTTCGCTGGTTAGAAACATTTAGGCTGGCCTGCCGACGATCAATCCTGGGTTTAACCAGGCTGCATTGTGTGAGGAGCTCACAAATCCTCGAAAGATCTGGACAAAGTCCGATCGGTGAGCACCTCCGGCAAGCAAGGCTGCGGTGGCTGGGCCATGTAGCCCGCATGCTCAATCACCACATGCCGAAACAGCTTTTGTTCGGCCGGATTGAGGGGGCTAAACGGGCGCTACATGGGCTAGAGAAGAGATGGAGTGACGTGGTACAGGAGGATGTTGAGATGAGTGGACTTGCCGATGACTGGTACCAGCAGTGTCAAGATCGGCCTCTGTGGAGGGGCTCGTGAAAGATGCTACTGGGCAGTTGGAGGCAGTCGCCCTCCAACAACAACAGAGGGCGTAGGAGCGATGCTCACAACAACAAGCGGAGCTCTGGGTGGCCAAAGCACAGGAAGTTGGCACAGTAGGGGGCACAGGTGATGCATCAGCCAGTCATCTCAGTCATCTCCGTCAGTCGACCCGTGGCACCTCGGTCTGCCCCCTGACTTGCCAGCGGGCGTTTGACACTTCACGTGGCCTTAAGGTGCACATGGCCTAGCACAAGCGTCGTGGTGACGTCACAGCCACTTAGTGGCGAATGGCGGTTGTTGTTGTGTGTGTGTGCAGGTGAAGCTGCTGGGTGCCCCCCTCCTCCTCGTCGCCCCCAGTGGCCCTACCGCCTCCACGGCTGCTGCCGCCGCATCGCGACGCCTACGCTTCTGGAATTCACAGCTCTCGTGCCTGGGCAAGGTGCGGGGAGTGACTGGAGGTGGTGGTGTGCTTGAGGAGCTGTGGCACTGTGGTTAGCGCACCGTGCTTCGCATCTGGTCGCCTGAGTTGGATTCCTACTCACGACCAGCACCAATGATAAATATCTGAACTGGTTCTGGGTCTTCCTTAGGTGGACTCAGCCTTCGGTATCAAAATCAGAATCTTTATTTAGCGTAGACAAATCCAATGAGCTATGAAGCTCTTTGTCCAGTAGGTGTGGGTGTGGTTCTGGTCACACCACCCTCTCGTGTGCCATAATGGCCTTAATACAGTGAGGGAAAAAAGTATTTGATCCCCTGCTGATTTTGTACGTTTGCCCACTGACAAAGAAATGATCAGTCTATAATTTTAATGGTAGGTTTATTTTAACAGTGAGAGACAGAATAACAACCAAAAAAAATCCAGGAAAACGCATGTCAAAAATGTTATACATTGATTTGCATTTTAATGAGGGAAATCAGTATTTGACCCCCTCTCAATCAGAAAGATTTCTGGCTTCCAGGTGTATTTTATACAGGGAACAAGTTGAGATTAGGAGCACACTCTTAAAGAGAGTGCTCCTAATCTCAAGAAAACAATTGGTAACACACTACGCCGTGAATGACTGAATTCCTGCAGCGCCTGCAAGGTCCCCCTGCTCAAGAAAGCACATATACATGCCCGTCTGAAGTTTGCCAATGAACATCTGAATGATTCAGAGGACAACTGGGTGAAAGTGTTGTGGTCAGATGAGACCAAAATGGAGCTCTTTGGCATCAACTCAACTCGCCGTGTTTGGAGGAGGAGGAATGCTGCCTATGACCCCAAGAACACCATCCCCACCGTCAAACATGGAGGTGGAAACATTATTCTTTGGGGGTGTTTTTCTGCTAAGGGGACAGGACAACTTCACCGCATCAAAGGGACGATGGACGGGGCCATGTACTGTCAAATCTTGGGTGAGAACCTCCTTCCCTCAGCCAGGGCATTGAAAATGGGTCGTGGATGGGTATTCCAGCATGGCAATGACCCAAAACACACGGCCAAGGCAACAAAGGAGTGGCTCAAGAAGCACATTAAGGTCCTGGAGTGGCCTAGCCAGTCTCCAGACCTTAATCCCATAGAAAATCTGTGGAGGGAGCTGAAGTTTCGAGTTGCCAAATGTCAGCCTCGAAACCTTAATGACTTGGAGAAGATCTGCAAAGAGGAGTGGGACAAAATCCCTCCTGAGGTGTGTGCAAACCTTGGTGGCCAACTACAAGAAACGTCTGACTTCTGTGATTGCCAACAAGGGTTTGCCACCAAGTACTAAGTCATGTTTTGCAGAGGGGTCAAATACTTATTTCCCTCATTAAAATGCAAATCAATTTATAACATTTTTGACCTGCGTTTTTCTGGATTTTTTTTGTTGTTATTCTGTCTCTCACTGTTCAAATAAACCTACCATTAAAATTATAGACTGATCATTTCTTTGTCAGTGGGCAAACGTACAAAATCAGCAGGGGATCAAATACTTTCTTCCCTCACTGTACGTGTCTGCTAACAACAAATTCCGTTAAGGCTATACAGGAGAAACCTTTTGTCTCTATTTTTGGTGGAGGTGGTGATAGTGGTGGTGGTGATGATTATGATAGGAGAAATACTTTGTTCCAGTCACTATACAAACTGCGAGTGGTGGTTCTTGTAGTGTGACTGGTGGCGGTGGTATAGGTGATGGTAGTGACAGTAGAGGTAATGGTGGTGGTGGTGGCAGTTGTGCTAGAAGTGATTTTAACAATGGTGGTGTTGGTGGTTGTGAAGACGGTAATGATGATGATGGCGATGATGTCAATAGTGGTGGTGATGTCACGCAGGTGGTGCCAGTCACTATGCACACCACGAGTGGTGGCGCTGGCTTCAGTGTGGGACAGTGTCTGGAGCACATGGTGGGCGCCGTCAGGACCAAAGTTCTGGAGGTAGCGCACACTTGTCTGTCCATGTGTGTGGGTGCGCACATCCGTATGGGTGCTTGCGTGTGTGTTTGTGCATGCGTGCGTTTGTGTGTTTGTGCGTGTGTATGCATGCATGTGTGCATGTATGTGTGTATTTAAGGACCTACCTCTGTTTTGTTGACCTCGTCAAGGCCTATTATACCACCAACAGGCCAGGGCTCTGGGTTATTCCTCATGCTTTCGAGGTCCCTGACATCTGCTCAAAATCATCAAGGACCTTCATAATAGTGGGCAGGCCCAGGTACAGCTGCATGGCCTGTTGATCTTGGGGTGCGACAGAGATATCCTCTGACCCCTACACTACTGAACATCTTTGACCACATAGTTTTAAAAGCTTTCCATGGCTGTACCGGAATAATTTGATACAAATACAATGGCACGCTGATTATGCCCGGATGTGATCAAGAGATGGCTCCCAATTATGAGTTAGGATACCCTATTGCTGAGCCTGGAGCATGTCTGTAAGAGGTGAGGCCTTACCATCAGTCTCACAAAAATAAAGCACCTACCTGGGTCTTTGTCATAAAATACTCAACCCTGTCCACTTCCCATGAGTGAATGGGAAGTTGTGGAGAGAGTGGAGAAGTTTCCCTACTTGAGCCGTGTGCTTTTGAATATTTCCAGCTTGGCAGCTGAGATATTCAGTCAAGCAGCATTATGTTGGTGCAATTCTGTGGAAGCTACTAGGTCTGTCGCTCCACACAAAGCTTTGAGTCTTCTTTGGTTCTTTCGGTAAAGTCACGTAGAATGAGAATAAAATAATAAATTGATAAAATAAAATAACAATAATTTTCTCACGACGTTTCGGCCACAACACAAGCGGTCTTCATCAGGTGAAGGGACGAAAGCTTTGAGTCTTCTCAGCCACGGTTATTCTATTCCTTCTCTATGCTTGCAAAACATGGACCCCTCTGCAGGAACATTTGTGTCAGTTTAAAACATTCAGGCTGGCCTGCCTACAATTCATCCTGAGTTTTACCAGGCAGAATTGTGTGAGGAGATCATTTAAAGTCCCATCAGTGAGCTCCTCCGGCAGGCAAGGCATTCCTAAGCAGCTTCTGTTGGCCAGATAGAGGGTGATTAATCGGTGCGGTTGGGCTGGTATAGGAGGATGTGGAGATGAGTAGACTTGCCATTGATCAGCAGTGTCAAGATTGGCCTCTGTGGAGGAGGTTCATGTAGGATGCTACTGGGCCCTCCAACAACAACGGTGGGTGAAGAAGCAACACTCACAACAACGAGCGGAGTGCTTGGCGGCTAAAACGCATCTAGTTGGCACCATGTGGAGCACAGGTGGTGCATCTGCCAGTCATCTCAGTCACCTCGGTTTGTCCCACGACCTCCTGTCAGCGAGCCTTCAACACTTCACATGGCGATAATGTGAACCTAGCCTGGTATAAGTGCCATAGTGCTGTCACTGCCACTTAGTGGTGAATCACGGTTGTTGTTGTACGTGTGTGTGTGTGTGTGTGTTTGTGTGTTTACAGCTTCAGCACCACTTCCCAAACCGACCGGTAGTTCTAATTGGCTGGAACGTGGGAGCACTGGTGGCATGTCACGTGAGTTCACAGACAAAGACAAAGATCAACATACACACATACCCGCACACATGCAAACACTCTCGCACACACACACACAGGGAATGTCACACACACCCATACTGGAATGCTTGTGTGCGTGTTTGCAGGTGTCTCTAATGGAGAGCGTCTCAGCTGTTGTCTGCCTCGGCTTCCCACTCTTCACCACAGAGGGCGAGAGAGGGGTGAGACACAAAGACAAAGGTCCCCAATTTGTCTGTGTGCTGTCGTGTGGTTATGTGTTCATGTGGCTATGTGCTGCCATGTGACCGTGTGTTGTGGTGTGGCCGTGTGTTGTCGTGTGCTGCTGTCTGGTCGTGTGGCCGTGTGCTGCCTTGTGCTGCCGTGTGGCCGTGTGCTGCGGTGTGGCCGTGTGACCCTTGTGCTGCCATGTGACTGTGTGCTGTCGTCTGCTGCCGTGTAAGCGTGTAACTGTGTGCTGTCATGTGCTACTATGTGACCGTGTAACTATCTGCTACGGTGTGACCATGTGCTGCCATGTGACCATGTGACGGCGTGCTACGGTGTGACCGTGTGCTGCCGTGTGGCCGGACCAGGATGTGGATGACCCTCTGCTGGAGCTGCGAGTCCCAACGCTGTTTGTGATTGGTCAGCGCTCAACCCTCAGCTCGCCTGCCGCCATGGACGAGTTCCGCGAGCGACTCCGCGCTCACAGCGGCCTCGTCATCGTCGGGGGCGCCGACTCGAGTCTCCGGTGCGTCACTCCGCACTGCCACATCTTTAGACCGCAAGGTCACACCATCATACCGCACTGTTACACTACACCGTCACACCGCAAGGTGACACCATTACACCGCACCGTCGTACTACCACAGCACACTATCTCACTGCCACATTACACCGTCATACCGCACTGTCACACAGCACCATTACACAGTCACACTGCACCATCATACTGTCACACCGCACCGTCACACTGCATCGTCACACCGCACAATCGCACCACACAATCACACTGCACTGTTGCACCATCACACCACACTGTCACACTACAGTCTTGCTATCGCACCAAACTGTCACACCGCACCATCACCATAGTGTCACCTCAGCATCACCTCAGCGTCACAGTATCATGCCACATCCTCGCACTGTCACGCCCGACCATTACACCGCATCGTTACACTGTCACATCTCATCATCACACACTACCATCACACCATCACACCGTTGCTTCACACCACAGCGGCACCTAAGCGTCGCACCGTTACACCACACCACCACACCGCACCATCACCATAGCGTCACCTCATTGTCACACCGTATTCACATATCGGAGTTTGTATGTGTGTACGCGTGTATATATGTGTATATGTGTGGGGGGGGGGGGGCGATAGTGCAGCTCTATCCCTCCCACATGTACACATTGAATGAGTCTTATTCATTGAAAGTACAGGGTGAGTCTAAACATTTAATGCATGTACACTGAGATGTGTGTGTCCTTTGTGACGTGTGTACACTGCTGTGTGTGCATCATGATGCGAGTACTGGGATGTGTGTATACACTGTCCTGTAAACCTGGAGACCCAAGTTCGATTCCTGCACCAGTGACGATTATCTGAACTAATCATGGACCTTCCCTAGTTCGACTCTTGCCTCAAATGAGTGCCTGGTGCGGTGTGTAATCATCTCCAATAGGGAGATAACTGGTTGGGCGCGGTGCTGGCCACCCACCCCCTCCTGTGCCGTGCCAGCCTTCAAAGGTGCTCACTAACAGCCCTTGCCCCAGCAGTCTATTAAAGCGTTAAAGGCTATACTGAGATTTTTGTCTTGTACTCCTGTATGTGTGCAGGATGAACAAGACTAAGCGACGGTTGGAGGGTCTCACACAAAGCATGGTGGATCGCTGCATTCAGGTGTGCCTCTGCATATCTCTATGAATACTCTTTGGTTCTTTCGGTAAAGTCACGTAGGTAGAAAAAACACAGACACAACTTCACCCGAGAAGATGGGTACAAATTGAGCAATCATTGGAAGGACGTTATTAACCAAGTAAAATCTTAACTGACTGTAATGTTTCCATCCTACCTGCCTATGTCAGCTGTTATTTCCGACTCTCTCTGTGTGTCTCTCTCTCTGTGTCTCCCTCTCACCATGTGTACCTCTTGCTGTTAGGGTTTTTTTTGTTCCGGTTGCCCGGGTCTCTGACATTGACATGCTAATCTTCTCATTGGCACGCCTCCGGTGGCGGGGCCGTCTCACGTTGACATGCTAATCTCTCACATTTACAGCTTAAAATCAAGATTTATGTACAAATTCCTTCTATAGCTCCACCCACTTACCCTTGGGTTGGGCCCACCAAAATCCTTTATAATCTCTTGTTGCAGCAGCTCTTTCTCCTACGTCAGCAGTTCTCCTGCTGTGTTTGTTTCACACCTGATGATGGTTGCTTGTGTTGCGATCGAAACGTTGTGATCTATTATAATTTTTTCTACCTACGTGACTTTTACCGAAAGAACCCAAGAGTATGGATTCCTGCAGTCACGAAAGCTTCAAATCAAGATCTCTATGAATGTGTGTATTTCTACGTCTATGAATGTTTGTGCATCTCTGTGAATGTGTGTACATATTTTCTTATGAATGTGCATCTCTGAATGTGGGTGTGTCTATATTAGTTACATATTTCAGTTTAACTCGTGGTTTAGTGGTAATTAATTGAAGGTGGAGGGGTTACCAGCCCCTCGCACCCGTCCAGAGCCCCTGTTTAGCCACTGTGGTGGAGACAGATGCCATGAGGGGAGAAGCCAATCGGAATTGGCACTCCCCCCACAGCACTGTCCACGACAGAGTTGCCCGTCCGGCACCGCGGGGAGGTAGGGGGTTGTTTTGCCAGTTGGAAACATTTAGGCTGGCCTGCCTTCGATCCATCCTGGGTTTAACCAGGCTGGATTGTGTGAGGAGCTCAAAAATCCTTGAAAGATCTGGGCAAGGTCCTATCGGTGAGCTCCTCCAGCAGGCAAGGCTGCGTTGGCTAGGTCATGTAGCCTGCATGCCCAGCCACCGCATGCCGAAACAGCTATTGTTTGGCCGGATCGAGGGGGCTAAACGGGCATGGCACGGGCTAGAGAAGAGATTGAGTGATGTGGTACAGGAGGACGTGGAGCTGAGTGGACTTGCCGATGACTGGTACCAGCGGTGTCAAGATCGGCCTCTGTGGAGGAGGCTTGTGAAGGACGCTATTGGGCAGTTGGAGGCAGTCGCCCTCCAACAACAACGGAGGGCGGAGGAGCAACGCTCACAACAACGAGCGGAGCGCCGGGTGGCTAAAGCACAGCAGGTTGGCACAGTAGGGGGCACAGGTTGTGCACCAGCCAGTCATCTCAGTCAGTCGACCCGTGGCACCTGGGTCTGCCCCGTGACCTCCTGCCCGTGGGCGTTCGACACTTCACGTGGCCTCAAGGTGCACATGGCCTGGCACAAGCGTCGTGGTGAAGTCACCCCCACTTAGTGGCGAATGGCGGTTGTTGTTCTTGTTGTGTCTATATATATCTATGATTTTGTGTCTCTATTTAGCTCTTTCCTGTTCCGAGACATCTCCAAGTTGCAGAGTGGGTCCTAGATTTAAAGCTTTCGTGACTGCAAGGATCCATACTCTTTGGTTCTATTCGGTAAAGTCACGTACGTAAAAAATAAAACAACACAAATCACGACGTTTCGGCCACAACACAAGCAGCCTTCATCAGGTGAAGGGATCAGGCTGTCTCGAGGACAGCGCTGGAGTGAGCGTTGGCTGTGTTTCACTCCAGCGCTGTCCTCGAGACAGCCTGATCCCTTCACCCGATGAAGGCCGCTTGTGTTGTGGCCGAAACGTCGTGATTTTTGTTGTTTTATTTTTTTACCTACGTGACTTTACCGAATAGAACCAAAGAGTATAGAGTGGGTCCTGTTCACCGCTGAATCTCAACGCTCAAGCGGTTTAGCATTGTATTTATAGAGATGAAGCACTGCTGTTTTTAATGACATTGTACTGTACTCACTGCAGATAACTGTAGCGACACGAATGCACTCCACGATAGCTGGTGCCAAACTGCTACACGCCCTCCCGCATGGGCTTTTACGATTCCATTCGGAATCGATTCTGTTCCGATGATGTAAACGTACGGAATCGGAACGGAATCAGAAGGAAAATTGACGATGTACACGTACGTCATTGGAACAGGAAAGGGTTAATGTGTTGTCTCTATCAATGTGTGTGTCTCCATGTATCTCTATGAATGTGTGCGTGTCTCCGTGTGTATGTGTGTCTCGATCTCTCAGGATGAAATCTCAGACTTCCTCTCCTGGGTGCTGGGTCGCGCTGCCTCCGCCCATGTGGGCCCCGACCCCCCAGGGGGCGATGGGGGCGCGGGGGGCGGTGGGGGCGATGCGGGTGGCCGGAGAAAGGGAGGGGGCGGCGGGGGGGGCGGGAGAGATGCCCGGAGAGACCTCTCGGCAGAGATGCAGGAGAGGGCCCCCCAATCGGCCTTCTCCATTTACCGGACTGCACAGGTGCCCACCACTAAAATCCAGCAGCTCCTCACTCCGCTCTGCACCCCCGCTCTAACCAATTACCATGTGAATTTATTTACAGAATCTGAATGTTGACATGTCTCTGCTATTGAGTTTGTAAGTTTCTGCTTTTGAGCGAGTGTGTGTGTGTCAGTGAGTTTGTGTGTGAGTGGGGAGCAGTGGCGCTGTGGTTAGCGTGCTGTTCTTCAAACTTGGCAACACAAGTTCGATTCCCGTTCACGACTAACACCAGTGACGATTATATGAACTGGCCTCGCCTCGTCTGACTGAGCTTAAAATGAGTACCTGGTGTGTAAAACATTGCCACTAGGGATACACCCACTCGTGTGCCGTGCCGGCCTTCATCGGTGTCCACTAACAGCAATTGCCCCAACAGTCGGTTAATATGTGTTTAAGTGAGTGTATTTGTGAGTGAGTGAGTGTGCGTAGTGCTTGCCACCTACCCCTTTGTGTGTCGTGCCGGTCTTCATCGTTGCCCACTAACAGCACTTGCCCCAAAAGTATGTTGAGACTACACGGGGGAGGTTTGTCTTTTTGAGCTTGCGAGTGCTGCCGCCGCTGCTGTCCTTACTGCGTTTGCAGGGAGCAACGGGGCTGAGCTCAGCGCCAGTGGGGGGTGGTGTCGGGGGCACCCGAGTGAGGCTGTGCGGTGGCACGGCGGGGCTGGTTTCGCCGGCACTGTCGTCCGCTCTGGGCCTCTCCTCCGCCGAGGTGAAGGCGTCGCTCCTGGCATCGGGCTCCGGCGCCCACTACGCCAGCCTCGTGCGCAACAGCCTGCAGCGCGCCGGGGGCAACGCTCTCTCCCGTGAGTGGGAGGCAGCCGGCGAGCGAGCGCGAGGGGGTGAGAGAGAGAGTGAGTGTGTGAGAGTGTGAGTGGGAACACTGGCGGAGCAAGTAGGGGGAGTGGGGTGGCACGTGCCCCCCCAATGATCCGATCGAAATCCCTAATTTCGATCGGATCATTGGGGTTTATTAGTAATAAATCGGCATTTTGCGACCCCCTCTGCCACTGTGTAGCATATTATTACGTGCCAGGAACTCTATGAGATGATAGGACAATAGTCTGAGTCCATAATTGTCAATATGTAACGGCAAAGCAGTTATAAGTGACTCACAGAATTGTGCGTAGTTGCATATACAGTACACGACTTCCCTGAAGGCATACCTTCAGCAAGCGCGATGCCGATCACACACGGTTTGAATTCGACCCTCGATCGATGGCTGCGCCATCGCCGCACACGCGTCGAATAAAAAGCAAGGGACAAGTTCTTACTAACAACTCCTATCATTTTTCATTGCTAGAGGGGTTGCTCCCCCCTACCTGAAAATCCTGGCTCCGCCATTGAGTGGAATTGGTGCTCGCTCACAGCACTTGCCCCAGCAGTCTGTTAAGGCTATACAAGGGATCTCGGTCTTTGTGGGGAGAAGTAGTGCAGTGGTTAGAGCGCTGCGCTACAAACCCTGTGACCCAAGTTCAATTCCCGCTGACATCTAACACCAGTGGCGATTATCTGAACCGGTCCTGGGCCTCCCCAAGGTCGACTCAGCCTCAAATACCTGGTGCGGTGTGTAACATCACCACTCAGGAGATAAAGGTGGCTGGGCGTGGTGCTGGCCACCCACCCCCTCATGGGCCTTCAGAGGTGCTCGCTAACATAACTTTCACTAAAAGTCTGTTCTACAGGGATCTTTTGTATTTGTGAGTGAGAGCGCCAGGGAGTGAGTGTGAAGAAGTGAGCATGTTAGAGTGAGAGTGTGAATGGTTATATGAGAGCCAGCGAGTGTGAGTGTAATCGTTTTAGAGTATGATAGAGTGGGAGTGTGAGTAGGGAGGGGATTGTAAGAAGGTGAGTGGGGAGGGGACTGAGTGGGGAGGGGATTGTGAGAGTGTGGACAGTTCGAGAAGCTTTCCCTCTCCATCTGGTAAAGATACAATGGGAGGCTGATTGATGCCTGGATGCGGTCAAAGGATGGCCCCCTATTGGTCAACCATGTTATGTATGCGGATGATCTGATGGTTGCTGCTCACTCTAAGGAGTTGGAGGTTCTGCTGCTGAACCTGCAGTGTGCCACTAAGTGGTAGGGCCTTGCCATCAGCCCCAGCAAAACTAAGCACTTGCTTGGGTATTTTATGTCATCCAATACTCCATACCCTCAGCTGCCCATAAGGCAGTTGTGCAGAGAGTGCAGAAGTTTATGCACCTAAGTAGTGTGCTTATGACCAACTCCGGTTTTGGCAGCAGAGGTCTCACTTTGAATCAGCCGAGCGGCATATTTTTGTTAGCTATGTAACGCTGTGTGGAAGCTACCATATGTGTCGCTCCACACGAAGCTTCAGGTCTTCTCGGCCACAGTCCTCCCTTCTCGCTCTCAATGGAACACCTGCACCAGTTTAAGACATTCAGGCTGGCCTGCCTACGATCCATCACAGGTTTAACCAGACTGGATTGTTTGAGGAGCTCAAATCCTTAGAAGATCTGACACAGTCCCCTAAGTGAGCTCTGGCAGGCAAGCCTCCATTGGCTAGGTCATGTAGCCCACATGCCCATCCACCGCCTGCCCAAGCAGCTTCTGTATTGCCAGGTCTAAACGGGCATGGCATGGGCTGGAGAAGTCATGGACTGATGTGGTACAGAAGGATGTGGAGCCGATTGACCTTGCCGATATCTGGTACCAGCAGTGATCAGCCTCTTTGAAGGAGGTTTATGAATGATGCTACTGGGGAGTTTGAGGCTGTCGTCATCCAGCAACAACAGCGGGCAGAGGAGCGGCACTCGAACAATGAGTGGAGCACTTGGTGGCTAAAAGGCAGAAAGTTGGCACAGTGGGGAGAACAGGTGGTGCATCTACTAGTCATCTGAGTCAGTTAACCCATGGCACCTGGGTCTGTTCCATGACCTGACAGCGGCCCTTCAACACTTTACATGGCCTCAAAGTGCATCTAGCATGGCACAAGTGCCGTGATAATGTTACCGCTACTTAGTGGTGAACGGCGGTTGTTGTTGAGTGAGTGTAAGTGGAAAGCGGCAAGTGTGTATGTATGCGTGTGTGCGCAGCTCAATTTGCTGCCTTCCTCAAACAAACTCTGGACAAAAAACCTCCATCTAGCCCCGCCTACGTGTTCGGTGAGTGTGTTCTTACCCTCACCCAGCCACGATCATCCTGCCACACTGATCCTTACCGAGCCATGCTCACCCTCACCCAGCCACGATCACGCTCATCCAGGCACACCCAGCCATTCTCACCCAGCCATACTCACCCATGAGCGCTTACCACCCACAGTCACAAGTTTGGCAGCAGAGGTCTCACTCGGAATCAGCCGAGTGGCATCTTTTCATTACCCACTCACACACTTTCACCGACTCACTCCACTCACCCTTGCCCACTTACCTTCTCCCTCCCACACTCATCTAATCACCGACACCCCACCCCTCGCATCTCCCGTGTGGTGAGCAGTTCCCGTGAGCTCTGACACTGGTGTTCACGACGGTGACGACAAAAACTCTCGCAAGCGGCGCCATGGAGCAGGACCCTCCCGCGTAGGAGGACCCGGGGCTGCGGGGGGCACGGGGGGTGGGAGGGGGGCAGGAGGCAGTGGAGGAGCGGGTGGGCTGAGTAAGCGCGCACGACCCAGCGGGGTGGACATGTCGGCGCAAGCCGTGGTGGACCCGGGGCATGCCGGGGGCACCGCGAGCCCGATCGGCGGGCAGGCGGCCACCAGCACACTGGAGGGTATGTGGTGCCAGTTTTCACACGTGTGTGTGTGTGTGTCACTTTGTGGTTAGCGCGTTGCAATATGAACCCGGCGACTCGAGTTCGATTCCCGCTTACGGACCAACACCAGTGACAATTATCTGAACCACTCCTGGGCCCTCCCCTAGGTTGGCTCAACCTCAAATGAGTACCTGGTGTGGTGTGTAAACATCGCCACTGGGAAGACAAAGGTGGCCAGGTATGGTGCTGACCACCCACTGCTTGGTGTGCTGTGCCAGCATTCATAGGTGCTCACTAACAGCACTTGCCATAAACGTCTTTTAAGGCTATAGGGGGGATCCTTATCCAAGTGTGTCAGTGGTTGTTTACCTGATTGGTAATATTAGTTCGTTTAATGTATACAGTATGGAGTATGGTGAGTGTGAGAAGATTCTAGACCTGGGCAGTGTGCTTAGGACCAGCTCCAGTTTGTCAGCGGAGGTCTCAATCCGAATCAGTCGAGCGGCATTATCTTTTTATCAGTTGCATAACGCCGTCTGAAAGCTGCCTGGCCTGTCGCTCCAGACGAAGCTTTGATTCTTCTTGGCCACAGTTATGCCATCCCTTCTCTATGCTTGCGAATCATGGACCCCTCTGCAGGAACATCTGTGTCGGTTTGCAACATTCAGAATGCCCTGCCTACAATCCATCTTGTGTTTAACCAGGCTGGATTGTGTGAATTGCTCGTAGATCCTTGTAAGTCCCACCAGTGAGCTCCTCCAGCAGGCAAGGCATTCCCAAACAGCTTTGTTTGGCCATCTAGAGGGGGCTAAATGGCAGGGGCACGGGCTAGAGAGGAGATAGGGTGATGCGATACAGAAGGATGTGGAGCTAATTGACCTGTCAATAACTGGTACCAGCAGTGTTAAGATCAGCTTCTATGGAGGAGGTTCATGAAGCACGCTACTGGCCAGTTGGAGGCAGTCACCCTCCAACGACTGCGGAGGGCAGAGTAGCGACGCTCACAACAATCAGCGGAGCACTGGGCTAGCGGCACTCTGGCACAGTAGGGAGCACAGGTGGTGCATCTGCAAGTCATCTCAGTCAACCCTGGCACCTGGGTGTATCCCATGACCTCTTGCCAGCAAGCCTTCGACACTTCATGTTGTGTTAAGGAGCACCCAGCCTGGCACAATTGTTGAGAAGTGTCGGACGACACTTGGTGGACATGTCGGCGCAAGCTTACGCCGGCGTTTTATTAAGGGCTTATGCCAACTTAACACTAAGGGTGTAACACTTTCCCAGGGGTTAGGGGTCCCAGGCTGGGTACTCTACTTGGACCTTCCCCATGGTCTGTTCCTTGGCTCAGCTGGCTGTCCGGGCTGCCTCCTCCGCGCCGGCCGAGGGCTGATCCAACTTCAGCTGGCCGAGGAGTGCAGCCACTCCTAGCGCTTACGCTGGCCTTTCTCCTCACCCCTGGTTCTAACACCCAGCCTTCACGTTCCAGATCCCTCGCTACGACCCCGCTTTCGTCACGGGGTCTCCCTTAAGTACCTTGAGGAGACATGATGTCATCGCCCCGCCCAGCACGCATGACGTCACGGTCCATGACGTCATTGCACTGGACAGCGTGCATGACGTCACATCCCCATATTACTCCTCTACACAAGTGCCATGGTGATGGCAGTTGTTGGATGTAGTTGTAGCGGTTGGGACGCTGCTCTACAAATACGGCTCCTGAGTTTGATTCCTATTCACGTCCAACACCAGTGACAATTATCTGAACCTGTTCCTGGCTCTCCCATAGGTTGACTCAACCTCAAATGAGTACCTGGTGCGATGTGAAAACATCGCCATTGGAGAGACAAAGGTGGTCGGGTGTGGTGCTGACCAACAACGCCCTCTTGTGTCGTGCCGGAAAATATAGGTGCTCGTTAACAGCACTTTCCCCAACAGTCTGTTGAGGCTATACGGGGGAACTTTGTGTCTGTGTGTAGGGCCCCCCAGAAGGTCACCCCCTGTGTCAGGAGTGAAGGAGCTCTCTGATTTGGTAATGATGGGGGGCAGCAACAGCAGCACAGCCTCGACACGCACGCACGGACCCTCGCCAGGTACACGTGTGCACCTGTCTGTGTGTATGTGTCTCTGTGCCTTTGCGCATTTTTGTCTTTGTGTGTCTTTATGTCTCGGTATGTGTGTGTGTGTGCCATTACTGCACTGCGCCACAAACCTGGCGACCTCAGTTTGATTCCCACTGAACCAGTCCAGGGCCTCTCCTAGGTTGACTCAATCTCAAATGAGTATCTGGTGCAATGTGTAAATATCAGCACTGGGGAGCCAAATGTGGCCAACTGTGGCGCTGGCCACCCACCCCCTCGTGTGCTGTGCCAGCCTTCATAGGTGCCCACTAAAAGCACTTGGCCCAACAGCCTGTTAAAGGCTACATAGGAGATATTTGTGTCTGTGTAGTTGTAGATGCGCCTGCCATGTATCCACTCCGGTAGTGGGTGTCCACCTAGAACACCCCATTCAATCCCACAGTAACCTGGTCTCAGCTAGCTGATGAAAGTTGCAAGCGAGAATTCCATCGTTTGCGCCTGGGGTTGGCATCATCGCCTCTTTCCTCCAGATACTTAGAGGAAATATATGAGATTCAGGACTTTGGCTCATGCAGCTGCAGTGGCTGAATTTGGTACACAGTCCAGACCTCCCCAGAGACCGTGAATTATGGAGGAAGGGTTCCAGCTGAGAGAAAGCAACATGCCCACTCCCACCATTTACACTATTTTACGTCGAATAAGGAGGCTTACCGCAGCATTTGTTGGAAGGTTCGGAAAGTCGTACAGCGCTGCAAGAATGAGTGGTAGTCACTGGTTGCTAACGAGATGGAATATTCCTCAGTAGCTCACAGATCTTCAACTTCATAAAAAAGCAATTTGCAGCACCACACCAGTTACCATGGTGGGCTGGCCCAGGCTAAAGCGGTATGGCTGGGTGTAGAAGCAATTTTCTGTTCACCTTGTGTGACAGGGATGTTGGCCCCTACATTATTTAACATATGTTTTGACCACGTAGTTCAAGAAGCTTTCCATGGATGAACCGGTGGAATTTCAATCTGGTATAGATACAATTGGAGGCTGATCGATGCCCAGGTGTGGTAAAGGGATGGCTTCCTATTGGTCAACCACTCAACCATGTTTTGTATGCAGATGATGCCATCATTACTGCCTACTCTGAGAAGGAGTTGGAGATGCTACTGCTGTACTTGGGGCCTTACAATCAGGCCTGGGTATTTTATGTCATCGAATGCTCCCGTCCCTTCACTCCCCATGAGTGATGGGGCAATTGTGGAGATAGTGGAAAAGTTTCCGTACCTTAGAATCAGTCGAGCGGCATAATTTCATCAGCTACGTAATGCTGTGTGGAAGCTATCTGGTCTATCACTCCATAAGAAGCTCTGGGTTTTCTCAGCCATAGTTATGCCCTCCATTCTCTATTTTTGCAAAACGTTAAGCCCTCTGAAAGTACATCCACACCGGTTTGAAATATTTAGGCTAGCCTGCCTCTGGTCCATCCTGGGTTTAACCAGACTGAAAAGTGTTATGAACTTAGATCCATGAAAGATCTGGACACTTCCTTCAGTGAGCTGTAGCAAGCGAGGCTACATTGACTGCTTCATGTAGTCCGCAGGCCCAGCCACCACATGACCAAACATCTTATGTTTGGCCAAATATATGGAACTAAATGGGCGCGGTATGAGCTACAGACGAGATGGACTGATATGGTACAGAAGGATGTGGAGTTTATTTGTCGATGACCGGTACCAGCGTTATCAAGATCGACCTCTGGGGAGGAGGTTTGTGAAGAAAGCAACTGGGGAATTGGAGGCAGTCGCCTACCAGCAACAACAAAGGCCAGTGGAGCAACACTCACAACAATGAGCAGAGCGCCGAGCGGCTAAAACGCAGAAAATTGACACAGTTGGGAGCACAGTTGGTGCTCTCCCAGCCATCTCATTCAGTCAACCCATTGCACCTGGGTCTGTTGGGTCTGTTCTGTGACCTGCCAGCGGGCCTTCGACACTTCACGTGGCCTCAAAGTGCACCGAGCATGGAAAAAACGTTGTGGTGACATCACCGACCTGTAGTGGCGAATGGCGGTTGTTGTTATGGTCTATGTGCTCTTGTCGTCATTTGCCCATTGGTTCCCCTTGGTCAGGCTCTCATTTCCTTGTGTCCCCCTGTCCCTGTGTCCCCCTGTCCCTCTTTCTCCATTTTCCCATGTCTCCATGTTCCTGTGCAGGAGTGGCAGGCAGTCTGCTGCAAGGTTTGAGCTTTAGTCTGCATGAAATTGGGGGGGGGCCCGGAGCTTCCACCCCCCACACACGCACACAAATGTCCGCCATTCCCCCCACACAGGTGAGTACACACGTATACTTGGTGTAGTTGCGTGGAGTGTTGGCGTGGTTGTGTGTTGTTTTGTTGGGTGGTATGGTGGTGTATTAGTGTAGCTGTGTGTTGATTTGTTGTGTGGTAGTGGTGAAAGTGTATTGGTGGTGTATTAGTGTGTTTTGGTGTTGGTTTTGTGGTGTGGTGGTGGTGTATTAGTGTGGTTTTGTGTTGGTTTGTTGCATGGAGATGGTAGTGTTTGCCGTTTGGCATTCTCTGGTCTAACACTGTTTGAGACGAGGCCATAAAGAAGGCTATTGCTGGTGTGGACCAATCGGTTTCAAAGGCAATGCATATATTACCAGAGCATGTTTTTGTTTGCATGTTCACCACCAATGTGTGGTTAATGCAGACATGATTCCTTGCAAAAGGTTCCTCTTTGGTGTTTTAACATTTTAACACCTGTTTTATTTCCAGAAAGGGTAAAACCTATTCTTATATGGTGGTAGTGTTAATACAGGTTGTATGGGTTATATCGTGTAAATATGTGTCATTATACCTGCCGCCACCCGACACAGCCGATTGGTAAGGTGTGCCAACAAGGACACTTCAACATTATCAAAATCTATTTATTTTGATAATGTTTAAGTTCTATGCAAAACTGGTTACTATTGGCCAAGACTAATTAGAGAATCTATTGAAATTGAGAGAAAAACAAATAATTGTAACTGTTCAGATAGCTACAGACTTAGTGCTAAATTGTTTTGTTTAAATGCATGCCTATACAGGTCACCATACTTCAATAGGGATTACCTTTAGTACAGCTATTTTAGTACACACAATCGACAGGAAGTACAAGAACAATGGGTTTGCATAATGTTAATGCATAATGTACATTGATTACCATATAAATAACCCAAACGGCAATGGATACCCACAGTCATTTATATGCATTTGTAGTGAGTTCAACTGAGTCGCAGACATACTTTTTGGAGGCAACACATTTATTATTACCAACACAAGGGGTAACTTCCACCAGGCTAACTACACTAATTACACCGTAACTAGCTACAACGGACCGGATTACAGCTTGAGTCCCGGTCCACGTGTTGGTGACTCTGTAGGACGTATAACGTATAACGTAGATTCTTCAGGATGAACAACAGCAGCCGGTCCCTCTCGGGGTCCCGGCTTATATCCTCTGTGGCGTGGCTGGCCCCGCCTTTAGCCACGACCACCTTCTGGAATCCTCGAGCAGGATCTCGACTTTATCTGAATTGTCTCATGGTTGTTATTGTTAGACTTGCATCCCATTGGTATTTTTGCACACAGCGTTGGTATACGGTACTTTTTTCTGGAAGAGTTTACTGTTTTTTCCTGGATGTTTCTGTTGTGCATCGTCACTTTAAGATGTTCTTTGTTCATCTTTTGTTTGTTGCGGTTGCACCCGAGTCAAGAGCCTCATGGCTGAAAAAAAACTGAAAACACGTGACCACCCCTAGCCCCCACTTGGGGACCCTATTCTGTAGGGGTCGGCACTGCACGCAGAGCGTGGTACCATTCAGCACTCTCAGTCAGTGCTCACTGAGCCCCTCTAGGGCCGATACTGCACCCACATATATGTGGTGTCTGCGATGTCTATACATTGCACGCCGTGCCTCTCTGGGGCCGGCATTACACAGTGACATCCGCGATGTCACTACATATTCATTAATTTCCCCCCCCCCCACTTCGCGCAAGAAGAGCACATGAGTGTTGTCATTACATCTTCTACCCTCCTATTTAAAGAACTAAATCTGGCTGTCGCCTGATGAAGCTAGTTGTAATTACTGGTGAAATTTTGTACTCAGATTGTAAATGTTGTGGATTGGCTCTCCAACACATCAGTGTGCTGTACTAGTAACTAATTGGCATGTTCTGTTTACATGACAAACCTTACTAATTGGCTGTGTTGGGTGGTGGCGGGTTTAACGACACATTTATATATTTACGCGATCTAATCCAAAAACACCTGTAATATGGTTGCGATTACGTGTTAAACTGGTGGTAGTTTGTTGGTGCGGTATTAGTGTAGTTGTGTGGTGGTGTTGTAGTGTATTAGTGTGGTGTGTTGGTTTGTTACGTGGTGGTGGTGGTGGTGTGTTAGTGTCACGCAAAGGACCCTTTGCCTGTCAAGGTGATGTATTAAGGGTTCAAGTGACCAGTTAAGTTGTACACCCGTTTGAAGGAGCAGCATTAAAACAATAACGCTTAGGCTGCAATATTTATTAACCCAAAAATATGCAGGCTAAGTTACCTCAAGCAATTACGCAATCAAACGCATTACACTCGAAGAGCAGAGATCGTGAATGTAATGAGCAATAGGTTTGCATTGTAGATTCGCTACACTTGGTTCTATATCAATGTCTACCTTGCAACGCAACAACTATTAACAGAACACAGTAGAACGCACTCAACGACCCAACGCACACGCCACTATCAACACAATACAGAGCATACCCTCCAGACACACTAAATCGCCTACCCACTTATTTCCAATAACCCTGCCGTCTGGGGACCATGGGTATGAAATGTAGACGTTCCTCTTATTATCCCATCTTGATGCCCTAACGACGTAGCATTGTGCAGGATCAAAGTGTCACGGGTGTCGGTTCGATGAGGTCCCTCAAGATGGCCCCCGAGGAGGAGTCGGAGGACGGAGGCCCTGCCTCGTTCCACCCCACCGCCGATTCGAGCCTCTGTCCTGGCCCGGACTCAGTCCACGCTAGTACTGGTCCGCGACTGAAGCCCTGATCACTGGAATTATGTTAAGCCACATGCTCGCTGTCTCAGCCCACGCATGTAGTGGCCTGACCTAGCCCCGGCATTTGCAGTGGAGTGGCTTGAATTGGATCCAGCACTTGCAGTGGCGTGGTTTAACTTGGCCCCAGCACTTGGAGTGGCTTGACTTGGCCTGGGTACTTGGAGTGAAGTGGCTGCACTTGGCAACAACTTCTTCCTCTTGGAGTGACTGCCTCCTTGAATGTTAGCCCTTCAGCTCTGTAGCAGCATGTCCCCTGTTTGCTGGGTTCGTCTCACGCCTCAGCTGGCTAGAGGTCTCAGCCATGGGTGGAGGCCTCGCTTTCAGAGTTTTTGTTTCTCCTCTCCCGTGCCTCTCCCTCACTTTTAACCCAGTTTCTCCTTCCTTTGCAGTTGCAGCATTGGTTTGGTTAACCTACGCTCCTTGCAGGAGTTTGTTTTATTTCCCATATCACCCAGACCCCCAATGTCTTACACATTATGTAAATGGCCTCTAGTGGAGAAATTTTTAACTCAATCCGTTATAAGTGTGGTTGTGTGTTAGTTTGTTGTGTGGTGTATTTCTGTGCTGTTGTGTGGTGGGTGGTTTCCTGTGAATGTGCTAGTGATGTTGATATCCATTTTACGTAACACAGAGTGTGCTGGTACCCCTCGGACCACACAAGCCACCACCCCCCTCCTCCTCTTCCATCAAGCAGCTGCTTTCTGTGGGGAAACTATCGACTGGACTGCCCCCTAAGCCCGGTGAGTATGGGGTCACACGGGGTAACACAGGGTCACAATCGCACGCTCAGGGACACTTGCCCTTGTCCCCATGATCTCTGATCTTTTCTGCCCCCTGTAAACACCACAGGTGCAGTGAGACCGGAGGAGACGGAGCGAGAGAGCACCAGGGTGCAAGCGATCCAGCGTATGCAGGTGAGGAGGAACGCAGTGCGAGCCACGGCACCGCCGCTCCCACCCCCTCTTCAGACAAATGAGATCTGTATTGTGATTGTCCGGTTGTAGGAGCACAATTATAATTGGTCACAGAGATGAGATGTTTGTCACTGAGCAGCGCAATATTCGACTGTGCAGAAGAAGCGGTAGACCAAGGGTTTATATCTGTCTTCCTCCACCTCATCCTCCTCTCTGCTGCTCTTCCTCTCCTCGCTTCACTGGCGTCACCAGTTCCATGACTTCCCTCTGACGACGGCCGGGCTCACAGTGCTGGGCACGCCGACCGTCACGCACGCACGCATCCTGCAGCAGCTCGAGCTCGCCGCTGCCAGCACCGCCACCACCCCCGCCATCACCGCCACCACTGCCACCATCACCGGTATCACCAGCAACTCGACAATAGTAGCGTCAGCACCGATGCTGCAAAGGGGCTCTCCGACAGAGGAGGGGGAGGCAGCTGCGTCGGGTGGAGGTGAGAGATCACTATGGTAGTGGGGGGAGGGGTGAAGTGTGATGATGGTGATGTGTGCTGTGGTGGAGGTGGTGATGTGTGTGCTGGTGGAGGTGGTGATGTGTGTGCTGTGTGGGCTATCATAGGTGCTCGCGCACAGCACTTGCCCCAACAGTCTAGCTTTGTTGATGTAATGTTGCGTTGATGGTGATGGTTTCGTAATGTTTATTGTTGTGTTGGTTGTTATGGTTGTGGTTATGATTGTTTTTATGGTAATCTTTGTGGTTATTATTGCAATTGTGGTTATGTTTTTGTGGTTATTGTGGTTTTGGTTTGGGTCATCATTGTGGTTATCTTTGGGGTCGTGATTATCATTGTCATGGTTATGATGGTCGTGGTTATTGCTGTTGTTTTGGTTGTGGTTATCGTTATCATTGTGGTTATCGTGATGGTTGTCAGTATCATGTGCATGCCGCTCTGGGCATAGCAATCCTCACGAGCCGCCGCCAGGCAATCCTATCCTGCGCTAGCCGCCACGCTGAATATAAGCCAAGGCCGTGGTGTCGAAGATCAGCCTCAAATGTGTGTGTCCATGTCACCCGTGGTCTTCCCTGGGGGCACCTCCAGTCCCGTGATGGGCTGTCGACCATTGCGCGCAGGGCTCTGGCGTGATTTGTTGATGTGTCTGCCCAGGCAACGTGTCCGAAGAGCCTAAGTCTTCTGGCTCTGACTTTTTCATGCACTACCGGGCATCCCGTGCCAAGGCAGACCTCGACATTGGTGATGCATTCACTGAAGTGGAGGTGGAGTATCTGTCGCAGGCACCACTGGTCGAAGGCATCCAACTTCCTGCTCAGGGACGCCATCATTGACCATGGCTCTGAGCCATACAGTAGTGCGGGGAGGATATATGCAATGTATAGTCGAATCTTTGTTGCTGTTGTAATACTGGAGCGCCAGATGTGTATGTCGAGCTGTTTCATGCACTCGCGTGCAATTAGATTCGCCTTTTCATGTCTACCTTGGTGCTTCCAGTGTGTTGAATAGTGCAGCCGAGATAGGTGAACGATTTTACCAATTTAACATTGTTGCCCGCTCTTTGCACTTAAGGAAAGTTGTGTGGCTGCTCAGTTTTTTTCCCAGGCCAAATGAGAGGGCTTCACTGTGCATGACCTCCAGCGCAAGGAGATCATGCATTTCAGCTAGCAAGGCAACATCATCTGCATAGTCCAGGTCGGTGAAAGCCTCGTTACCTAGGATTACTCCCAGCAGCCCTTTTTGAACTGTACGCTGCAGTATCCAGTCCAGTGGGGCAAGGAACAGGTTCGGGACAATGGTGCAGCCTTGCCTTCCGCCACGTTGGATACTGAACCACTCGGACAACTCTTCGTCTACACGAACGCAACTGATTGTGTCTGTGTAGAGCTCCTTCATCAGATTCACGATCTTCTATGGTAATCCATTGCTTGTGAGAAGCAGCCAAAGAGCTTTGCAGTCGACAGAGTCGAAAGCAGCCTTGAGATCGACATAGGCTACCTAGAAAGGATGCGGAAACTCTCACCTTGTTTGTATGAGAGGTCAATATGGTGATGCGATCTACGGTGGAACGTTCGGGTGTGAAGCTGCTCTGTTCCATGCAGCGCACCTATAATAGTTTATTTTTTACTTGCCAGCAAAATTGAGGCAAATAACTTGCCAGGGCAGAAAGTAGAGTAATGCCACTATAGTTCTTGCACTCATGTCTACTCTCCTTACCCTTGTGGAAAGGCACAATGATGCCTTTCTTCCAGTCTGCCGGTACCGAGCCTGTCCTCACGTGTGCTGGAAGATCCTTGTTTACCATTTGATAACAGCTGGGCCTCCGGACTTCAGCATTTCTGCTGAGATGTTGCAAATTCCGGGTGCCCTCCCATTTTTCTTAGAGCAGCCATCACTTCTTCCTCAGATGGCTGTGAGCAAGAGGTGTTGGGATCTTCGGTTGCTGTTCTTCAGAGGGGGAAGAAGATGAAGGGTGATTCGGCAGCTGAGAATATAATTATTTCCAGTGTGCTAGTTTCTGCCTATCGCTGACCAGGAGGACACTGCAGTCCATGATTGGGCTGGACACTGCAAAATTATATTCTTGTTTTTTTCGGTAAAGTCACGTAGATAGAAAAAAAAATCTAAAAAGCAAAAAAATCTAAATTAAAAGCAAAAAACCCACAACGTTTCGATCGCAACACAAGTGGTCTTCTTCAGGTGGAGAGAAAAGAGGGGGCAAGCTTCCAAATGCAGCTGCTTATAAGGGCTCCAGAGTGAGTGAGCGGGGGAAAGGGCTGCGCGAGAGGCAGGGGGAGAGAGAGGGGGTGGGGCAGAGATAGGAATGGGGATAACAGCTGAAAGGAATGGTGATACACACTCCAGAGTGAGTGGGTGGGGGAAAGGGCTGCGCGAGAGACAGGGGGAGAGAGAGAATACATAAGGTGGAAAATTGGTTGATAATATCGACTGAATTGCTGTTCGAATGCCGGGCCTGAGAGTTTTTTTTATGTTGTATCGGGGAGATGGTCACGATTTTTTGCTCGGGAATCGTTTGAGTCTGATGCCAATGGTTGCGATAACTGGACGATGATCTGTGTCGAACTCCAAGCCCCGGTAAACTCTGCAATTTAGCAGAGCTTTCCAACTGGAGTTAATGAGTATATACTCTATTTTTTTCTCTCTGTGGCTGTCGTTTGAAAACCAGGTAAGTCTGTGAATGTCACGGGGTTGGAACCATGAGCCACCAGTTCTAAGCCCATTTCCTGCGTAGAATGTAGTAGCCTTTCAGAGTTGTCATTGGGGGTGCCACTGCCATGTGGATCGATCACAGTTTGGAGGCATTCTCTATAAGTGCCAAAGACTACATTGAAATCTCCAAGGCACATAATGAGGTCCCATCATTTTTTTAGGTTTAGTGACTGTTCTAGAGATTGGTAGAAGTGGTCTTCGATGTTGTTAGGTGCTTCGTTCGTTGGTACGTATGCCACATCAATGGATAAATCACCTAGGGTGTGCCTGAATCTAGCCATCGGTAGCCTGTCATTCACAGGGTGCCATTCTCATAGGGCTGACTTGGCTGTCCGATCAAGAGCAATAGCCACTCCAGCAAGCAGGGGAGAGCCATCAGGAGGCCCCGACCACAGGATGGTGTAGTTTTCTGCAGTGGTTTTACCAGCACCACGCTAACATACCTCCTGGAGGCCCATGATACTGATTCTCCCCCTCTCAAGTTATTTAACAAGTGTGTGAATTGCACCTCGTTGGCAGAGGGTTCTGATGTTCCAGGTGCCACTGCGAGATGGTTTGCGTAGTTTGAGGCTCTCAGTCATGTCCACCGTAGCACACTTGTCACAGCTGGCTGGTAAAAAAACAGGCTGTGCACGCCTTGCTAACCCACGCGACGAGCGATACAGTATAAAGACTTACGTGGTAGTGTCTCACATGGGGAATTCTTGGCAGTTATATACCCCTAGTCTCTTGCCGTGGGGCTAGGGTAGGTAGCTGGGAGACTTGATGTTGGGTTCCCTTGAGCCGGCGACCCGGCTGCTCCTTTCACCTTAGAGCAGGGGTAGCTGTTGCTGAACATCAGGACATATCCACATGCCGGTCGGCTCAGCACACTGCAGCTATCGGGCCAGCATTTGCTCCTCGACCATTTATACTCCTGGACATTCGGTTGCATATACAGACTCGGTGATGAACAGGGGAGACCACGAGAAGGTGCCTGTACACACATTTCGCAGCGAGAGGCCATAGCAAGACACATCACTGCCAACCCCCCCCCCCTCCCCCCATCATGGTTGTGATTATTGCCGTTGTAATTGTGGTTATTGTTGCGCTTGTGGTTTACGCGGTGGTTGTAGTTACCGTTGTGGTTGTGGTTCTCTATGAATCTCCGCAGGCGCGACGTCAGGCAGCCCTGGAACTGTGTACGTGGTCTCCAATGCCAAGCTGAGTGCACTCACTCCTCGACACACCCCAACGCACATCCCAACACACACTACAACACCCTCCACCATAATACTCACAGCACACACCCCAACCCCCGCCACAACACTGACAGCGCACACCCCAACCCCTGCCGCAACACTCGCAGCATACGCCCCAACACACACCCCAAAATTTACACACAAACCAGCCCCCGCCACAACGCTCACAGCGCACCCCTCCACTCCCGCCACAACAGTCACATCGCACACCCCAAACCCCACCTCATTACACACACCCACACACTCAAAGGAGAGACATCCCCCATTGCCAGCCATCATCTCCACAAGTCAAAGAGCATCAGCAGCAGCACAATCTTCAGCAACAGCAAGTGGTGCACATGGGGGTGACGAGGTTGGCATAACGAGGTGAGTGACCACTCACTGTGTGTGTGGGGTATGTGGAGTATGTGTGTGGTATTGTCTTTGGTGTATCTAAAAGTGCATGCGTGTGTGTGGAGCGGTGGCGCAGCACGCTGCTCTACGAACCCGCCTAACCGACCAACATTGGTAACGATTATCTCAACCGGTCCTGGGTCTACCCTAGGTCGACTCAACCTCAAATGAGTACCTGCTGTGATGTGTTAACATCGCCACTGGAGAGGTAAATGCAGTTGGGCGTGGTACTGGCCACCCACCCCATGGTGTGCTGTGCCGGCCTTCATAGGTGCTCACCAAAAGCACTTGCCCCCAACAGTCTGTTAGGGCTACACGGGGGATCTTGGTATTTGTTAGCGTGCTTGTTCGCTAACACAGGTGTTTATGTATTTGTGTGCATGTTTATGTGTACATGTTATATTGTGAAGAACTATACACTACAGTAGTGTACAGTAGTGTGTGGATATAATGTAGGGATGCAGGCAAGGCTAATGAGTCAGATGTCTTCTATGACCTCTTGTCCCAGGTGCTAGCTAAAGTGGCCCCTCAGGATCGAGTCATCTTGTTGGGTAACCTTAATGCCCGAGTGGGTATTGACACAGGCACCTCAGCCGGAGTCTTTTTCTTTTGCATGGCAGGAGGAAAGAGCAATCGGTTGTAAACGTGTTTTAGTTGATTGCTACGTTTTTTCAACTAATGCAAGGAGGCATTAGATATGGTATGGATTGCAGCGACAGACACCACCAGAACGTTGCATGGATGGCACATTTGTCGGTGGTGTGCGTGATGATTTGGACCATGGTCATAGTTTGGCGGTTCGTTGACCTTCCATTTTTGGAAGGTAAATGTTCGTCTCCCGTGTTTAGTTCGAGCGCGATGTAGCGAGGTCCATAGTTGTGGGAGAGAGAAGCCCGATACTTTCACATTCTGGTCCTCAATGACGTTTTTGTTTGCCATCTCCATAGCCACCCCCGATTCCGTCCAGCGAGTACCGATGTTGGGCCGGAGTGATTGGAAGGCATGGGCCAGGTCAGCTCAATAACAACGGTAGGAGGCTGCTAGACTTCTATGCAGTCCATGGGCTTGTAATCACCAACATGCTGTTCCGGTATCGGCACATCCACACAACATCATGGATGCACGCCAGGTCCATGCAAAAACATATGCTGGACGATATAGTGACAGAACAGTGGATGTGGGCCCATGTTCTTGACACCAGAACTTACAGTGGAGCTGATTTTCCCACTGACCATTGGCTCGTCATCTGTAAGTTGTGCCTACCATGCTTCCACTCCGGTGGTGGGTGTCCATCTAGGACCCCATTCAAACCCATAGTGGCCTGGTCTCAGCTATCTGATGAAAGTTGCAGGCAAGAATGTCATCATCACTTGCAGCTGGGGTTGGCATTCTCACCTCTTTCCTCAGATTCCAAGGGGAAATGGGTGAGGATTAGGACTGTAACTCATTCGTTTACAAAGGCTGTATTGGGTACACAGTTGAGACCTCCCCAGAAACCTTGACTAACAGAGATGTTCTGGCTAGCTGGGAGAAAGCAACAGGCCCACTCCAACCGTCTACAACATCGAATAAGGAGACTTATCACAGCCTTTGTTCGGAGGTTCGGAAAGCCATATGGCTCTGCAAGGATAAATGGTGGTCACTGGTTGCTGATGAGATGGAATTTGGCTCAGTAGCTCATCATCATGAATCTGTAAAGCCATCAAAAAAGTAACTTGCAGCACCACAACAATCAACAAATAGTGATCTGATCTCTGACCCCCAAAAGCAGGTCTGCAGGTATTGTTGAGCATTTTTGTGAGACCCTGGCTTACAGTCTAGCTGAGAGAAAGTAACAGGCCCACTCCCACTGTATACAACATGCCATACACAAAAATGATGAGGCTTTACCACTGCCTGGGCTCATAAGTTTGGAAAGCTGTGTGGTACTGCAAGGATGAGGGTTGGTCATGCGTTGCTAAGGAGATGGAAATGGCCTCAGTTGCACGCGATCACGAGTCTCATTAATCCCATAAACCTCCGACCCTATGGAACAGGTCTGCAGAATTGATAAACATTTATGTCTTGGGGGAGGGGAAACCCCTCAACTCAAAACATGGGGCAAGGTTAGAGTTGACAATGCTGGGACTGCAGCACCTCAATTATAACAGGAAGTAGCCACTGTCTGTGAGTGGTTGGCTGGTGTGCCATTAGTTGAAGAAGTGTGAATAGCGATCCAGAGTTCGAAACGGGCTAAAGCGCCGGGCAGAGATGACCTCTAAAGGGAACTGCTGAGGCAGGGTGGCGTTTTTATGCAGGCTACCCTATGTGACCTCCCTAGAACCATCTAGTCTGCCTGAAGGGTTCCGCAGGATTGGAGGGATGCCCTGGTGCTCCCCATTTTTTAAAAAGGAGGAACCGACTGATTGCCTCTTCAGTGTGCTGGCAAGGTCCTAGCAGGTATTATCACCTTGCCAGGTACACTGAGAAGAAGCTAGCAGAGCCCCAATGTGGTTTAAAGTCGGGGCGGTCCTGCCCCGTATACCATTTTCCCTGTACGTCTGCTACAGCAGAGGTGTATAAATTGTCAACAGGACCTACATCTATGCTTTATTGACCTGGTCAAGGCCTATGATATGATGAGGCCTGGGCTTTGGGTTGTCATGTTTTTGGGGTCCCTGACTCTGCTCACAATCATTAAGGACCTTGATGGTGGCCAGTTCCGAGTAAAGCTGCGTGGGTGGGAGTCGAGGTCCATTACCTGTTCACATTGGGGTGTGACAGGGATCTCCTCTAGCCCTTTCATTATTTACACTTAATCGACCATGTCATTTAAGATGCTTTCATGGCTTTACCGGAGGAATGTTCATCTGGTACAGATACAATGGGAGACTGAACGATGCCTGGGTAGGGTCAAGGGATGGCTGCCTATTGATCAACCATGTTATGTATGCTAATGATTTGGATATTGCAGCTTACTTTGAGGAGTTGACGTTACTACTGAACCTGGAGTGTGCTATTAAGAAATGGAGCTTCACAATTAGTCTGACAAAAACAAAGCACTTGCCTGGGTGTTTTACATCATAAAATACTCGACTCCCTCAACTCCGCATGAGTGCAGGGGCATTTGTCGACAGAGTGGAGAAGTTTCTGTACCTGGGCAGTGTGCTTATGATCAGCTCTGCTTTGACAGCAGAGGATTCATTTCGAATCAGTTGAGCGCCATTATCTTTTTATCAGCTGTGTAACACCGTGTGGAAGCTTCTTGGTCTGTCGCTCGACACAAAGCTCTCAGTCTTCTCAGCCACAGTTATTTCCTCCACTCTCAATGCTCATGAAATGTGGAGCCCTAAGAGCATCTGGGAAGTTGGAGGGAGTCGCCCTCCAGCAATAGCGGAGGGCAGAGGAGCAATGCTCAAAACAGCAAGTGGAGCGTGGGGTGGCTAAAATGCAGCGAGTTTGCACAGTGAGGAGCACATCTGTTGCCTTTGCCAGTCACCTCAGTCATTCAACCCATAGCACCTGGATTTGTCCCGTGATTGCCTGCCAGCAGTGAGCCTTCGACACTTCACATGGCCTCAAGAAGCACCTAGCTTGGCACAAGTGTCATGGTGATGTCACCGCAACTGAGTGGCGAGCAACGGTTGTTGTATGTGCTTGTGTCCATGCTCATTTAACCCATATCAGCTGCCACCTGTGCGTTGACCTGCCAATGAGCCTCAGACACTTTACGTGATGGCCTCAAAGTGCACCTCACATGGTACACTTAATGGCAAATGGTAGTTGTGCATTTATAAAAGCTTGTGTGTATATGTTAATGCCTGTGCCCATGTATCTTTACTTATTTGGTTTGTGTATGTGCATCATCAGGCACTTCATCCCGTCCCCTGAGCATGCGTCTCACAAGATCTCCGAAGCTACAGAAGCCACCACCAACACCACCACCAATCCTACCACCACCACCAATCCTACCAACACAACCATCACCAACAACACAATCACCACCAACAACACAATCACCACCAACACCACAATCACCACCAACACAACCACCACCAACACAACCACCAACACAACAACCACCACTTCCACTACCTCCACCATCATAGGCCACAACACCACTGCCTCCCACAACACTCTCGCTCTGACCATCACTACTACCACCACCACCCACAATGCTGCCACCAACACTACCGTCACGCTCCCTCGTGTGCCAGTCGCCTCGGCTCACACGTCCATCGCTCTGTCCAGGCCGCGTCGCTCCTGCACAGCCCCCCATGGCACCAAACAGCCCTACTGACTCACCACGGTGGGGGGTCCCTGGGTGAGGAGTCAAATGCGGCTCCCTCGCCAGTTTGTCCCCTCTTGGTAGCCTGCAGCCTGGATGGCCTCCTCTGGCCTGTGGGCTCCGGGGCAGTTTCACTGTCTGCACGATTGATAGCCACACCACTCAATAAGGAGTGGTGTCGGATGAGCGAGTGGTGACGGATGAGTGGTTGGGGAGTAGCTAGGCACAGTAATCACGATGTGCATTTGTCCAGGAGAGTCTCACCGATTTTTCAAGACTCCCTTTCAGGAGGATCCTGTTCCACTGGGATGTTTGGCCATTAACTTGTTTTAGTGAAAATTTGGCTTTGTGCGCGAGGAAACCGGAGAAAACGTGGCACACTCTGCACAGATGCATTCAAGAATACGTTTCTGTGCTGTGATCCTGCCACCTCACAGCGGTTGAGTGGTTGGGCAGTGGTTAAAGTAGTTGATTGGTTATTTTAATGTTGAGCAGTAGCCGAGTTAAATATTTGAGTTGTGCTTGAGTGGGGGTTAAAGTTGTGGTTTGGTAGAGGTAATGCGTTGTGTTTGAGGTTGTGTGTTGCTGCCTCCCACCAACTCATTACAGTGATGATGTAAATGTTTGTCTGAAAAGCGTCGCGAGTTAAGATTCTGGATTGCGTTCCGGTTTCTGTTATCGACTCAGATTCTCAATAAACATGGAGAAGCGAGATTCGGGCTGTGAGCTCATTTATGCGCGGTGACTCCATCATTACTATCATTATTGCGTGACACCACCCAAAACATTACCATCAACATCTGTTCACATCACTACCACTCAATTTCCGTAAACAATCATTACCATCTGCAGCACCATCTGTGCAGAGGGAGATTGTCTCTGTAGAGAGGGTCATTCTGTTTTTCCCATGGTGTACGGCAGTGGTTCTCAACGAGGGGGGGTGGTGGGGAGTGGTACGCAGACCCATTCAGGTACATGGCAATGCCCTAGGTGGTATGTAAGGTAATTTATAAATTTGAACCACTCCAACACGTTGGTTGTAGAAAAGGTGTGAGAAGATTTTATTTTCTGCAGCATGCGAGCATGTCAACTTCCACCATCAAAAGCGCTCCAAGCCTTCCCCAATCCTCTCCTACCGCCACTTTGTTGCCAGGTTTGCTACCATCGCAAAGCCCCTCCACGCACTGACAGCCAAAGGTCAAAAGTTTCATTGAGGGGAAGAGGAGGCCTCGTTTGTGGCACTTTGCGAGGCCCTAGTCAACGCCCCTCCCCTCCGTTACCCTGATTTCGCTAGTCCTCGATACGGACGCAAGTGACGCCGGCATTGGCGCAGTCTTGTCTCAGGTAGTCAACGAGGTGGAGTGTGTCATCGCATATGGTAGCAGGGTACTTTCCCTGGCCGAACAACACTACTGCGTCATGCGCCGCAAACTCCTGGCAATTGTTTTTTTGTGTGGCTGTACCATCCCTATTTGCATGGCCGGCACTTCACAGTGCGCTCTGATCATGCCACGCTGCAATATGCGCTGCGGGTCGACCAGCCATCTAGCCAACTTTCACGTTCGCTCGAGATTCTCCAGGATTTTTCCTTCACCGTGTCGTACAGGAAAGGTACTCAGCACTCCAATGCTGATGCCCTGTCATGGTTGCCGTTAAGCGCCGAATGTGCGTGATTTTTGGACTCTAGGTGCTGTAGGCGGCCAGTTGACGATTCGGCCCCGCCCCTTGCAGCATCGGCTGAGGTGGCTCCCACGGAGGTGACGGACGATCCTGTCGCACACGACGCCGTCCTTGAACTTGACCTCGCTGAATGGGGACGTCTCCAGATGGAGGACCCATCCCTGGTCAAGTTGCGTCGCCGTGCCGATCATGCTGATGGTGATGGTAACCATAGGGGCCTGGCTCCGGTCATCTTGAGGGATGGCCTGCTGCTGTGCTGGGACGAGGGGGCACGCCGTTATGTTGTTGTCGTGCCCACGGCCCTGCGAGGGAGGGTTGTGTGAGCCGTGCATGCAAAATTTCTACACTTGGGCGTGCACAAAACCCTCGCCACGATCCAGCGTGATTTTTTCTGACCAGGCATGGCCAAGGACGTGGCTGACCTATTGAAGGGTTATGTACAGTTCGCGCGGCGGAACCAGCCGGCCAGGCCCTGTTGTCCGCCCTTGCAGTCGATTCGCATCTCACGCATCAATGAACTGGTCGCACTGGACATTCTGGGTCCCTTTCCCGTTACCCCCCTGGGGTAATAAATATTTACTGGTGGGGGTGGAATATTTTTCGCGCTGGCCTATGGCCTGGTCGCTCCCAAACCAGTCGACGGCTGCCATCACTGACGCCTTCATGGATGGTTACGTTATGGATAAGGATTCTCCTGAGCATCTATTGACCGGCCAGGGTAAGAACTTCTCCAAATTACTGCGGGAGGTGTGCGAACTGTTGGTCATGAAGAAAATTCACACGTCACCATACCATCGCCAAGTGGATGCTATGGTTGAGCGCCTGCACAAAACGCTCACCTCAATGCTGAGTCACCAGGTCAGCGAGTCCCAGCTTGATTGGGACTTGCGGGTCCTGGGTGTGCTGGCAGCATACTGCATGGCTCCTCATACTTCCACCGGCTATTCACCATTCTATTTGATGTACGGCAGGGATCACGACCCCCCCCCCCAGTTGACGTTCAACTGCGCATAGCGCCTCCGCTCACTAAATCCAAGATTTCCAAGGTGGCACGCTTCAACATTCAGAGGCTGTCTGAAGCATGCGAAGCTTCTAGGGTGCATTCTAATTCGCGCCAGTTGGCGAACGAGCGCCTGTGGAATCGGCGTGTTTTGCATTATGAGTGGGTTGTGGGTGACAGGGCATGGCTCCATTGCCCTCAAGTTCCGGTGGGTACTTCACAAAATTATTTAAACCTTGGAGGGGGCCGGTCGAGATTGTTTGCATTGTCCGTCCGCAATGTGTACAAATTCGGTGGGGCCGCCGGTGCTGGTTTGTCCACCCGTCGCGCCTCAAGCTCTTCGTCGCTCTGCGCGATTCCATCTCGCGTCCAAAATGCAGGGGCCGTGTGTGTGACGTGTCCGGCGAGTTGAGGGGTGTGCCTGCCGAGGCGGATTCATCCCCAGATGCTGCGCGATTGACGCCCGTCCAGGTGCCACCGTTTGCTGCTCCTCTGGCTTCCGGGAGCTCCTTCGCCCAGCCGGTGACTCCCGGGGCAGACTCGCCCACTCCGGAACACTTGCAAGTTCCCCCCGGGTCCTCCCCCGGATCCTCCCCCGGGGGACCGGCCACAAGGACTCGATCCAATACTTTCCGGTTCACATGACCCCATCGCATGCGCCACCCCCCCCACACCATTTGTTGAGGTTTCACTCATCAGGCCATTGTTATCATTGCCTTTATTGAATTTTCACAGGGTGATATATGGTGTGGGTGGCGGGATTGTTGGGGTGCGGGGTCATGAGCTTGGCGTGATTTCTTGTCCTCTCCCGTGTTGTTGCTCCATGCTCCCGCTCTTTTCCGGTCGTGATGTATATTTGTATATAGTGTACATTTGTATAGGTGGGCTGGGGTGTTTATTGTCGGGACCGTTTTTGTTATTATTATTATTATTGTTCTCGTTGAGGCACACGTTGTTGCTCTGTTGCTATTACGGGTCAGCTTATCTTTAGGGGAGTATCAGCCTGGAACGGCCGAGTGCTATGGGTGGGGGGGGGGGGGGGTGATGTAGTGGCATCGGGGGATGTCACTGCATGTTGTGTGAAGCTGGCTTGAGTGAGGCACGACACACGCCGCTCACACCATCTACAGCACTGCAGTGGGAATGCAGTACCGGCCCTAGCGGGGGCTGGCTGAGATCGCCGATCAAGGATGGATGGCACTGCACTCCACGTACAGTGTCAGCCTCTGGAGGTTAGGGGGTGAGAGTGCCAGGGACAGTGCAGGGGTACACAGGGGGCCATGGCATTCCATGTGAACCCGGAGGCCTGGTGACCGGAGGTACCCAGTCCGGGGACCCCAAAGAGAAGGCTGGGGGACCACAGGACCAGCACCAGATCCCTCTCGAAGGCTCGAGAAGGGGGGCGCCGCTCGGGGCGGTGTAAGCCCCGCCACGGGCAATATAAGCCGGAGCCCTGAATGGGTCCGGCTGGCTGTTGCAAGAATCAAAACCGAAGCCATCACCTGGAGAAGACCTGCCTGACTACAAGACCCGGACCCGAGCCGGGGTCCGGTCCAAGATAGCCACTCCGTGTGAGCTAGGGATAGCTAGCCCGGAGGAGATACCTCCCTAGGGTAGCTGGTGAAAGGGCAATCTTTTTGGTAGGTGAGTTGGAGCACGTACACCAAGCCCTCAGGCTGAACGGATACTCGGACTGTACAATCCGCAAAGCTGTCTCCCCAGCCATGCGGAGACAACCTTCTGAGGATCCAACCAAAACTTTACCGTACATAGCAGGGGTTACCAAAAATATTTCCAAAATCTTAAACAAACACAAGATTCAGGTTCGTTTCAATACAGTACACAAAATCTGTGATTTAATCCCATCTGTTAAATATGTGATTCCTGACATGCAATACCCTGGTGTCTACAAACTGAGCTATGGTTGCGGCAGCAGTTACATTGGGGAAACGAAACATGTCTCGGACCGAGTCTGTGAGCGCAAGGCAGATCTGAAACACGGTAGGACCAATACCTCTGCCGTTGCCAATCATTGTTTTAACGCTTTGGGCTCACACGAAATTGATTTTTCCAAGACGGAGATTCTCTGTAGACCTGGATGAAGCCATCCAGATATATAAACACAGACAACTTTAACCGAGATGGGTACAAACTGAGGAATCATTGGAAGGACGTTATTAACCAGGTAAAGTCTTAACTGACTGTGATGTTTCCAACCTGCCTGTGTCAGCTGTTATTTCGACTCTCTGTGTTTGTCTCTCTATGCCTCTCTCTTAGATCTCTCATGCTCACATGTTCTTTGCATTGCACTCTTATGCCTTTGGATTGCACTCTCATGCTCACATATCTTTTGGATTGCATTCTCATACTCACAGGCCCTTTGGATTACACCCATTGGGTTGCACTCCCTCGTCTAGGAGGCCACTTTTCTTCTTCTTTTCTACAGTTACATGCTAATTTCTCACATTAACATCATGCTAATCTCTCACATTAACATAGCCACTTCCGTGGCCTCTAATTTCTCACATTAACATCATGCTAATCCCTCACATTAACATAGCCACTTACGTGCCTTCGTCTAGGAGGCCGCTCTCCTAGTTTACTTTTACATGTTAATTTCTCACATTAACATAATGCTAATCCCTCACATTAACATAGTCACTTCCGTGCCCTCATCCAGGAGGCCGCTCTCCTCCTATTTTACAGTTACATGCTAATTTCTCACATTAACATCACTAGCCCCGGCCACTTCTTTATGACCCTTGAGCTACACCCATTTCAAACCTTTTTAAAACAGTCTGCCTCAGCAGCAGACCATGCTTTCCCACCTGATGATGGACACTTGTGTTGCGCCCGAAACGTCGTGATTTACTTTATTTTGTTTTATACCTACGTGTCTTTACCGAAAGAACCAAGGAAACTATCCGAGTAGATAACCTCGCATTCAATAAACCTTCAGAGCCAGGGTGAACATCCGACTCCAAACGTATTTAATGAATTGAACGAGGTAAAACTGATGGAAAAACACAGCACAAATACAGCATCTGTTAATACTTGGAAATATCAATACAATGAATGAACACTACAGCATCAAAACATTGTCTTAGATAACATGAAACTCAACAATAGATCCTGGATGGACCAGGCACCCACATTAGTACTGAACAGCTATACAAGAGAATAAGCTACCGTGTTAAGTAAGGGCACATCGTGTAATCACCATACTGCAGCCTAAATGTACAGCACTACACATAACACTGAACTGTGGATGAGATATTTCGTCATCCTTGCTCTCAAGATCGCAATAATGTTACATGGGTACAAGTCTGACTCGACTTATTCAATTACAAGTAACATTCACAATAAGGCAAGTGACAAGCTTCGTTGTTAACTAGGCCTCATATTTATCGTACCAATTCAACAGCATCATAAAGGCATTTACAGCATTATAACGGTCATTTTAACAATTATAACAGCATTGCCAGTATTATAACAACATAAACGAACTTACAGACATGCTTCTTAAAGTACCACAATGAACAGATTCACGGAGACGTTATTTGTGCCTACATTTTGTACTCTGTGTAATGGCTGACACCCTGCCGCGTGGCTGAGAGGGAATCTTAAATCATAACTTCCTGGTCACGTGACCAAACTCAACCTCCAAACAGGAAATTCCTGTGTACGCACACCCACACACCTGCCGTGAGGCAGAACACCTGCCGTGAGGCAGAACACTCCTCGTCTGGTATCTAGGAAAATACCACCATTTATTTTCTATCTCATAAACAAATGTATAACAAGCTTCAACGTGTCAACTTATTTGTCCATATCTTTTCGAGAGAGAAGTAGTACAGTCTCAACTATAGGCCTGACGAAAGTTCTTGCGACAACTTGCTGCACAATCATAACCTCGACCTTTCTAAATTTTCCATCGGCACTGAGAATTGTCTTGAGGATACGGCCCATTGGCCACTCATTCCGTTTGACTTGGTTGTCCTTCAGTAGGATGAGGTCACCTTCTTGGATGTCTGGTCTGTTCGACTGCCACTTGCTGTGTACTTCAAGTGGCGTAAGGTAAAGTCACGTAGGTAAAATGATAGAAAAGAAAAACAACTAAACTTTTATTTTATTTTACCTACGTGACTTTACCGAAAAAAACAAAGAGTATGAACCTTGCAGTCACGAAAGCTTCAAATCTAGAATTTCGTAAGGTACTCGTTTTTCCAGCGACGCTAGAACGTGTTGGCGATGCTCTGCACTTGTCTCCATTGACGTCTGTAGAGGTCTGCAGTGCTGACCTCCTCGGTGGGTGTTGTGAGCACGTCTGTCTTCTGAGTAAGAAGTGTAGCAGGAGTCAAGATGAATGATGACTCCGGGTCGGTTGAGACGGGGATCACGGGTCTTGAGTTAATTATAGCTGAGACCTCGGCCATGAGAGTGGTCAAGACCTCGTGAGAGAGCCGTGTGGACCCAACATCACACAGCATGGAGTCGAGAATGCGTCGAACAATCCCGATAATGCATTCCCAGGCTCCACCCATATGCGAAGAGTGAGGAGGATTGAAGATCCATGTGCAGCCTTGGTCATTAAGGTATTTCCCTAAAGAATCATCTTCAAGATTTTCCATATTGATCTTAAGCTCTTTACATGCTCCAATGAAATTGGTTCCACAATCAGAACGGAGTTGCTTGGCTGGCCCTCTGATGACGAATAATCTCCGGAGTGTATTTATAAAGCTCGAAGAGTCCATGGACTCGATGACTTCGATGTGCACTGCTCGTGTACTCATACAGGTGAACAGCACTGCCCTATGTTTGCTGTTCGCGAGCCCTCCTCTGGTGCGGCGGGAGATGACTGTCCACGGTCCGAACACGTCGATCCCTACAGAGGTGAAGAGAGGTTCCATACTGAGTCGATCGGCTGGGAGGTCTGCCATTTTCTGTTCTTCCTGTTTTCCACGTAGCTTGCGACACCTGATACACTTGTGGATTGTGCTGGTGATGCACCTCTTTGCTCCAATGATCCACAACCCTGCAGATCGGATTGCTCCTTCTGTGAAGTGCCGACCTTGGTGCTTGACCTTCTCGTGGAAGTAGCGCACAAGTAAAATTGCGATGTGGCTCTGGCTTTGGATGATGAGGGGGTTTCGTTCATTCTCATCTAATTTTGCATTCCCTAGCCGACCACCGATCCTGAGCAAGCCGTCTTTGTCCATCCTGGAGTTTAACTTCCTGAGGGAGCTGACCCGAGGAAGGTCTTCTCCCTTGTTGATGGACTTGATCTCACTTGCATAAGCTGCATGTTGCACACAGCGGAAGATTCATTTCCTTGTTCTGGAAAGCTCATCTTCAGTGCATGGCACTGTGCAGTGATGCCACCCATTGCAGATACCAGTGGTGCCTCTCATTGGGCGATGGAAGCAGTCTGCAATATGTCATAAGAGGATCGCTGGACCCGTCATCCAGATGGTTTGCTTCAGCAGAAATGCAGGGAAGGACCTAGTTTCGAGATCTGCTGGATTCTGGTCAGTTGGAACGTAATTCCATTGCTCCGGCTGCGTCGATCTCATTGCTGATGTAGGTGGAGAAACCTTCTGGTTTGGTTGTTTATGTAGCCTAGTACGACCTATCTGTCCAAGTAGAACTACACTGCATCCAGTTGAATGTCCAATTCGTCTAAGATCAGTTCCGCCACTTTTGTAGCTAGAACGGTTCCACACAGCTCGTGCCTTGGGATTGTATGTTCTGGTTGTGGGGCCTTGTCGTAAAACTCCTTCCAGGATTCCCACTCGGACGACAGCTCTGGGTCGAGGAACGGAGAGGCCACGGCTGCAGCGACCACCGCCACAACCACCAGCGGAGTGACGAGCAGCAGCTTGATCTTTGTCTTCTTCCTGTCAGTCAGGACTGGCTTGGAGAAATGTGGAGGAACAAAATCCAGCGAAGACGGTGGTGGATGTACAAGTGAGTTCGAGGTGAGCGTGGTGGTTTCTTTGTAAGTATGTATGGTACAGCCTTGACTTCTCTCTTCGAGTTTCTCTTTCAGGGTTAAGTGGTTGGGGCACGGTTAGAAGAGCGACGTGTGTCCATTCGTGAGCACACTTGTTCTGAATGTGCTAATGTGGTCTGGTTAGTGTGTTCTATCGAGACAGACATCACCTACGATGACCCATTCTAGGTCGAGTCTCTGAGCATAGGGAGCGTCGTGAGGTCCGTTGCGTTGATCGCGGACCATGTGGACTCTCAGCATGTCCCTGCCAAGCAGAAGTAAAATCTGTGCCCCGTGATCCAATGGCGAGATGAATTCTGCTATGGGTTTCAGGTGTGGGTGACGTGCGACTTCGGGCATGGGAATCTCACTGCTGTCGTCCAGTATCTCATTGCATTCTATCACCGTAGGAAGGACTAGCTTCATGGTGCTATCCATGAGGCCATTCGTTCTTCTTCCCACTGTCTCCATCAGTCCTGAGCATGTTCTGAGCATGTATGGAAAGGAATTCCCACATACGCTTAGCTGATCAAAGAACTATGACCTTGCCAAAGACTTGTTGCTCTGGTCGTCCATTATGGCGTACATCCTTACTGCCCTTTCAGGATGTCCTTTGGGATACACTCGGACGAGGCATATCTTTGAGCAATATTTTCCTTTGAAGCCTTCTCCACAGACTTCTGTGCATTTGCTTGTGATTGACGAAGTGGATGTGGCGGTCTCACCTTGCTCCCCGTCGTGCTCTGCTTCGGGAATGGAAGCTTTAGTGTCACTGGGTTTGGAGTAAAATGTGTGCAGAGAGTTTGCGTGTTTGTCGCTGCCACATTCCTCACACTTGATATCTGCCTTGCAATTCCTGCAAGGTGGTTTGTAGAAGCACAGCATTTGAAGCACACTCCAAATTATTTCAGCATGTTATTCCGCTCTTCCAATGGCTTCCTCCTGAACTATCGGCATTTCTGGAGGGAGTGAGGTTCATCATGCAACGGGCATTGCTTTTCTGGATCTCCTATCTACTTCTTTGTGATGGTTGTCTGGACGGAGTTTGTGAATGTCGTAGGAGAGACCTCAGTCTTATGTACGGAAATTGGCACTCTCGCTGTTCCTCGTTTCGCGAATGCTCTTTCGACTTTTGGGAGATCTGGACCGGAGTTCCCCGTGGTGCCAAACATGAAACTCGGGTCATTTCTGGTCCTAGCCAGGTTGCGGATAAACTTTGAGAAAAAAGAGAATGGGGGGAATGCAACCTGATGCTCTGACTTGTGAACCCGCTGTTCTCCATTTTTCCGGCACATCAAATGGCAATTTCTCTACGATGGGGTTCATGCCATGGTAGGTATTCAAGAAAATGAGACCTGATAAGTAGGGGTCAGCCTGGGCTTATTTAAGCTCTATCAAAAGATCTCCAAGCTCTCTTAACCTCTTAACCTTTTATTGTCTCGACCAGAGATTTTTGGAAAGTTCGGCAACTTCTTGAAGAGAGCCTTCTCAATGGTTTCTGGGCTACCATAGCACTCCTCGAGCCTCTCCCACACTGCATGCAGGCTTGAGGCAGGGTCGTCTATGTTTGCCAACCAGATCCTCTTTGCCTACTCTGCAGATTCGTTTCCTAACCATTTCACCAACAGGTCGAGTTCTTCACTTGCAGGGATGTCTGCATTTCTGATTGCATTCCTGAAGGTAGATCTCCAGGCTCGATAGTTCTGAGTGGTCATCAAACTGAACGAGTCCTGTGTTGATTAGTTTGTGGTGAACCAGGTACCTACCAAAGTCCCCTATGCCTGCTGATCCAGGGTGTGTCCATACTGGTGCTTTTGTGAGGTGCCATTATTGGCTGTATTGCCTTGCATGCCGTCAATCCCGATGGCGTTGGATTGTGGGCCCAAGAGGTTTCGATCACGTTGGTTTGATCCCTTTATGTGACTGTCTGGAATGTGGGTCTGACTTGATGAATCCACGTCTGACCCCACGTGTGCGACGCTGAGTCGGCGACTAACTGCCAGGGCAGGATACGCATTTCCACCATTCCCGGAGACAGCATTCATGTTCACTCGGTATGGAGATGGCGATGCCTCAACGTCCACCCTTTGTTCAGTATCGATTCGTGGAGGAGCATTGGTGAATTGTTCAGACCAGTCTAAAATATTTTTTCTGGTAAGTTTATTACGGTCCTTGACAGGCATTTGAGTGCCAAACTCATTCCAATTCTCTTTCTTATCCAGATTGGCTGCTGCTTCGAGCACCTCTGCTTGGGCCCTTGCAGCAGCTGCTTCTTTTTTGAGCTGTAGGGTACTTAGCTTTTCCTCCATGTAGCAGTAGCCACTAATATACTCTCTTGTTCTTACAGCTCTGCTTTCTTGCGAAGAGCGGCAGCTGTTGCTATACTTGCTTCTCCTTGTACGCGGGCCTTTTCAATTAGCATGGCTTCCTCTTCAGCTATGTAGGCGATATGGGCGTTTGCTGCTTCTGCTGCTGCACGTGCCTGAGCTGCTGCCATACTGGTAGATATCTGTGAGTGTGCTGAGCCATTAGATCTTGTGGTGGAAAGAGTGCTGAGATCGTGTCTCTCTTCACCCCTCCACATGGTCCATTGTGTCTTGTATCATTGCCTTCACATTATCATCGAGCAGTTCAAGGAAGTGCTCTTGCATGCGCACTCCCTCGATGCCCTCATCTGTTTTCACCTTCATCAGGAGGGAGATGTATTTATTCGCCAGTAGCTTGTAGCTTGAACTGCTCACCTTCACTCAATGTATAGCCCGCTGAATTGAGGCCACTGTGTCTGAGGCGTTTTGAGCTTTAGATATATCTATTTCAACCCGATCCCATGCCATTTGTATCCTGGCATCAAGGTCTTGCTTCTCAGCGTCATAGCTTTCCAAGGCCCATTGTGTCAGCCTGACCTCTCTTTGGGGCCTTGAACTCCCTTGGTCCTCTTGAGGCACGATGGGAGGTCCTAGATTTATCAAATAACTTGCTTCAGCATCTCTCCCTGCTGAACTGTGGCTTTCCATGCTGCGATGCTTGCAACACAATTTTAATGTAGACTCGCTGCAGAGCTGGCTGCTTGAGAACTCCAAGCCTGAGGAGCTGGCTGCTTGAGAGCTCCAAGCCTGAGGAGCTGGCTGCTTGAGAGCTACAAGCCTGAGGAGCTGGCTGCTTGAGAGCTACAAGTGTGAGGAGCTGGCTGCTTGAGAGCTCCAAGTGTGAGAAGCTGGCTGCTTGCTGCAGAGCTGGCTCCTTGATAGCTCCAAGCCTGAAGAGCTGGCTGGTTGGGAGCTCCAAGAAAATTGTCTTTTTACTGTCTCGGCCTCGCTGTCCGCTGCGTTGTACCAGTATCCGAGTAGATAACCTCACATTCAATAAACCTTCAGAGCCAGGGTGAACATCCGACTCCAAACATATTTAATGAATTGAACGAGGTAAAACTGAATTTCGATTTAAAGCTTTCGTGACTGCAGGGATTCATCTTCTTGGCTCTTTTGGGTAAAGTCACGTAGAATGGAAATAAAACAATAAAAAATAAAACATAACAAAATAAAAATTCTCAGGACGTTTCGGCCACAACACAAGTAGCCTTCTTCAGGTGAAGAAACAGGTCTGTCCAGAAGACAGCGCTTGAGTGAACGCTGCCACGCAAGGACCGCGTCTTTTAAAGGTGTGTGGGCGGAGATAACATATCAATTAGCATGTTACCCAGCCCCACCTCCGGAGTGGAGGAGGGTGGCGGCTGGGCACAAGAGAATACCAAAGCAGAGCAACTAAGGTGCGCTGCTCTGTCCTGTGTTGCATTATAACTGTGTTATAAACTGGACTACTATACAATACAGTATTATACCTTCCAATCTAAACTACATGGTATAATATCATATCCATAGACAAATTCCACCTTTGAATTATACAATGCGTTACTTTACAATACCCTATGCTTTAGACTATGTTATATTAGATTTGTAACATTACACTGTCTTATTCTATGAACCCAACTATATACCACACTGCTGTATATTCACTATGCAATTACGAAACTATATATTGCCTTATGAATAATGTTAAACATTACAATGTTATACTATTTATTATTATACAACATGCTATAAACCATATCATTAACTGTGGTGTGAGAGGTATTAAGAGGCAGTGCCAGCGAATGGACTGCGGTCTGAAGGTCACCGTAAAATACAATCAATTAAGAACCGAAATGGTTTATAACATCTTTTCAATGGTTAGTAAGCCAGAATCCATCTTCTCGGTTGAAATTGTCTCTGTGTTTGTATATGTGGATGGCCTCATGAACGAATCTCTCATGGTAGCGGGATGACTTGCAGAGAACCTCCGTCTTGGAGAAGTCAATGTCATGTGAGCCCACTGAATTATAACAGTGATCTTGCCACGGCTGAGGAGTTAGTCCTACCGTGTTTTAAGTCTGCTTTATGTTCACGGATGCGGTCCGAGATATGTTGTTTGGTTTCTCCAATGCAGCTGCTACCACAGAGGCAACTAAATTTGTAAACGCCCGGGTACTGTATGTCTGGAACCACATCTTTTACAGACGGAACCAGATAACGGATTTTATGTACTGCGTTGAATCGGACCTGGATCTTGTGTTTATTCAGGATTTTGGAGATATTTTTTGTGACCCCTGCAATGTAGGGAAAGGTGATGGTTTTGAATAGCTCCTCAAGAGGATCCTTTTTCATGACTGGAGTGATGGCTTTGCAGATTGTGTTGTCGGAGTAACCATTAGCCTTGAGAGCTTGGTGTACGTGCTTGAGTTCACTGACAATGTGTTCCTGGTCGGAAATGCATTGGGCTCTATGGTATAGAGCCTTGATGAGGGAGTTCTTCTGGGATGGATGGTGGTGGGAATCCGGTTTCAGGTAAGCATCCATATGGGTAGCTTTCCTGTAGACAGAGTGGCTCATTGAACCATCAGGTCTCCTTTTAATTAAGACATCCAAAAAGGGTAGCTTGCCATCTTTTTCGACCTCCATGGTAAATCTGATGGCTGGGTGTATGGAATTGATGTGGTCGAGGAATTGGTCGAGAGTAGGCCGGCCATGTGGCCAGATGACAAAAGTGTCATCCACGTACCTCTTCCATAAGGTCGGGCGTAGAGTGGCAGTCTGGATGGCGTCAGTTTAAATTTTTTCCATGAATACGTTGGGAACAACCGGAGATAGGGGGACCCCATTGGGGTGCCCTCAGTCAGTTTGTAGAAAGTTCCATTCCAGGTGAAGTATGTGTTGGTTAAGCACGTCTCACCAGGGGGGGCACATTAGTATGCAGTCCTTGATGAACCAAGTCTTCAATGATTGCGATGGTGTCAGGTACCGGAACTTTGGTGAATAAGGAAACCACATCAAAACTGACAAGCAGATCGTCTGGGGACAGGGAAATACCCTTGATTGTCGATACCAAGTGAGTAGAGTTTAGTACCGCAGAGGTGTTTTTTACAGTAAAAGGTCGCAGGATATCAGACAGAAAACGAGTCAGTTTGTAGGTGGGGGAGTTGATAGTGGAGACGATAGGACTGGTGAGACATTGCTTAACCAACACATACTTCACCTGGAATGGAACTTTCTACAAACAGACTGAGGGCACCTCAATGGCCCCCCCCCCCTATCTCCGGTTGTATCCAATGTATTCATGGAAAATTTTGAAACTGACGCCATCCAGACTGCCACTCTACGCCCGACCTTATGGAAGAGGTACGTGGATGACACTTTTGTCATCTGGCCACATGGCCAGCCTCCTCTTGACCAATTCCGCGACCACATCAATTCCATACACCCAGCCATCAGATTTACCATGGAGGTCGAAAAAGATGGCAAACTACCCTTTTTGGTTATCTTGATTAAAAGGAGACCTGATGGTTCAATGAGCCACTCTGTCTACAGGAAAGCTACCCATACGGATGCTTACTTAAAACCGGATTCCCACCACCATCCATCCCAGAAGAACTCCCTCATCAAGACTCTATACCATAGAGCCCAATGCATTTCCGACCAGGAACACATTGCCAGTGAACTCAAGCACGTACACCAAGCTCTCAAGGCTAATGGTTACTCCGACTACACAATCCGCAATGCCATCACTCCAGTCATGAACAAGGATCCTCTTGAGGAGCCATTCAAAACCATCACCTTACCCTACATTGCAGGGGTCACTAAAAATATCTCAAAAACACAAGATCCAGGTCTGATTCAACACAGTACATAAAATCCGTCATCCGGTTCTGTCTGTAAAAGATGTGGTTCCAGACATACAGTACCCGGGCGTTTACAAACTAAGTTGCCTCTGTGGTAGCAGCTACATTGGAGAAACCAAACGACATATCTCGGACCGCATCCGTGAACATAAAGCAGACTTAAAACAAAGTAGGACTAACTCCTCAGCCGTGGCAGATCACTGTTATAATTCAGTGGGCTCACGTGACATTGGCTTCTCCAAGACGGAGGTTCTCTGCAAGCCATCTGGCTACCATGAGAGATTCGTTCATGAGGCCATCCACATATACAAACACAGAGACAATTTCAACCGAGAAGATGGATTCTGGCTTAGTAACCATTAGAAATATGTTATAAACCATTTCGGTTCTTGATTGTATTTCACGGTGACCTTCAGACCGCAGTCAATTCGCTGGCACTGCCTCTTAATACGTCTCACACCACGGTTAATGATATGGTTTATAGCATGTGGTATAATAATAAATAGTATAACATTGTAATGTTTAACATAATTCATAAGGCAATATATAGTATCGTAATTGCATAGTGAATATACACCAGTGTGGTATATAGTTGGGTTCATAGAATAAGACAGTGTAATGTTACAAGTCTAATATTTTATAGTCTAAAGTATATGGTAGTGTAAAGTAACGCATTGTATAATTCAAAGGTTATATTTGTCTATGGATATGATATTATACCACGTAGTTTAGATTGGAAGGTATAATACTGTATTGTATAGTAGTACAGTTTATAACACAGTAATAATGCAACACAGGACAGAGCAGCGCACCTTAGTTGCTCTGCTTTGGTATTTTCTTGTGCCCAGCCGCCACCCTCCTCCACTCCAGAGGTGGGTCTGGGTAATTGAGGGGGCTACCGTCCCCCGCCATCACCGGATTGTCGGAGCCGTTGGCTCCCGACTCCCCCGCTACATTTGTCCCACTACCCCCCGGCTGCTCTGTCGGGTCTGGGCTACCGGCCCCCACTTCCTTGCCCCCCTTTTGCCCTTGACTGTGTTGCTGATTTCGTAGGCATGGCTCAATTAGCGGGGCGGTACGCGTTATGCTTGCGACGCGCTATGCTGTTCAGTGGCGGCGTGCCGCGGGGAGCGCGTTCGCAAGTAAAAACCCCGACCCGCACGTAAACAAACAAGTGCGGCGCGCCGACGCGCGTTTCCCTCACACCCACGCTCTACGCGCTCCGGCAATAACCAACACGCCGCCACCTCCTGCCCAGCCCCGTACACCAATCGCACGCGAGGGGGTTGGGGTCGAGGGGTGGGAGGGCAGGGCGTTTGCCGTGCGTGCACTGCGGATTGGGGGGAGTCGCTCCGCTCCCATTTAAAGGGCCGTTTAAATAGACGCACGAATACGCGCACGTCAGGCGCTTAGCTCGCTACCTCGCTATAGGCAATCACGCAGACACGCTACCGTAACACAGTCGCACAGGCACGTGAGTGCTAAGCACTAGATTCCCTTATTCGCCGCAAACAGCCGCACGGGTACGCGAGCGCTAAACACCACCGTAAACAGCCACGTAGGCACGCGCATGCTAGGCACTGCCATAAACGGTCGTATGGGTACGCGAGCGCTAAACACCCCCGTAAACAGCCGTGTATGCGCGCGAACACAAAACACTCTTCACCCTCCTCTTCACCCTCCAAAAGACCAGACGACCCAGTTTGTCCCCAGTTATTTTATTTACCGTGAGTAACCCGTTAACTACGCGTGATTGTGAGTCAGCAGGCCCCCCTAGCCTATCCTTCGGGAATCCTAGGCTCAATTCACCCTGCCTACCGTTCCGCTCCCCACTCTCGATTAAATCTCTCAAACTCACTTCTCTCTCACTTGTGCTTACTTCCACTCTGCTGCGCTGAATGCTGTAGAAGGACGAGGCTGTGAGTCGTCTCTGTAGAGGGTTGAGCCTGGCTGCGCTGGAGCTCGTCACATGGACGTCTCGAACGGCTGACTCGGCTGCTCCATGGACCGCTATGATGTTCAGAAGAAGTCTCCCTTGCTACGCTAAGCCTCCGTATTTTATCCACCCAAAAGGCATTCAGATGCTTCCGCACCCCCGCCTGCCCTGTCCATTCAGAGGCCGAGTTATTATCGTCTCTTTCACATTCGGATCCGTGACCTTACCTAAAACAAAAGGAAATTCAGATGCTTCCGCACCCCGTGCTGCCTTGTCCATTCAGATTTCAGAATGTTCTTGTCTCACTGTTATTGGAGTCCCTAATTCCACCTATGACAAAGGTGTACCGCCGTTCCCACGCCCCGTGCCATGTGTGCGTGATTTCATCCGCAGTGGCTCTGCGGCCTCTACCGTGACCACGTAATTTTAATATCAGGTCACGGCGCTGCAGTGTGCGTCAGCTATGGGGGGAGATTGCCCAATTTCCCGGCCGCAGGAAACCATGAAGCTTGATCCCATTAGGGGCTTCTGGATAAAAACCTGTCGGCCAAGTGACCTCCCTTCCCGGTTCTACGTGGGGTGTGTGTGCGTTCGTGCGGGGGGAGGGGGGGGGGGGGCGGCGAGGCGCGCCGCGCCAGCGTTGTCACCCCCCGGTGGTGGTGTCATGGCGGTGGGTACGGTCCCCAATGGAGCTGCTCCACCGCGGTTGTACCACACAGTCCCCCGAGGTGCCAGTCCCCGTCCCGAGTTGACTGGAGCACCTTGTCTGGGTTGCCCCTATGAGGTAGTGCCGCGGGGTTCGCGGGACTCGTCCGGCTCTCGTGGCTGGCCTCGGCGGTGGTGGCTCCATCTCTCGGGGTTCCGGTGGCGGTCTCCTCCTCCACTCCAGTGGTTCTCTCCGGTCCTGGGTCCCTGTGGGCTGGGAGACAAACTCGGGGGCGGTAGGGTTCAGAGGCCGTCGTCCCCGTCTCTCCTGGCTCGGGTCGGGACCCCCTGGGGCCCGGGGCTCCGTGGGGCCCATATACTGTGCGAGGCCCCTGGGTATGGGGGTGTGGGGACCCTGGGGTTTTGGGGCTCTCGAACGGCGGGGTCCTCCCTCGCTGGGGCCGCCCTCCATGGTTTTAGTCACCGGACATTAACTACCATCTCACGGACCCTCTCCCCCCCTTGAATCAGTACCGTCCAGGGGGAGATCTGTCGCCCCACGGTCCAGGGTCCCGCCAGTAGGTGGTTAGCTTCCCTGTCTGGCCCCGACGCGAGGGGTGTGCAACCACACCTTAGAGCTCGCCGAGAAAAAGGGGGGCTCTATTCGGGGTCGGGCGCCCTGCTCCTGCCGCTGGTGGGCGGCCTCGCCTTGCGGGTAGGCCCGAACCCTAGCTCCTCGTAGGGTCTCCATCAGGTGCTCCATGAGGCGGCTCCCTTCCTCCCGTTGCAACGGAGGGACACCGAACAGCAGATCTGTGGGCAGGTGAGACTCGCGTCCAAACATCATCAGGAACGGGGTCTGTTCCGTATATGTGGGTGGCGTGGTGGCGTAGGCGAACAGAGCATAGGGGAGGTGTTTGTCCCAGTCCCGTTGATTTGCGGCCGTCATGCGCTTAAGCTTCCCGGCTAGAGTCTGGTTCATCCTCTCTACCATCCCATTTGCTTGGGGGTGATACGCCGTAGTTTGGTCTTTCTGGATCCAGAACTCCCGGCACAGCGCCTGGAATAGCTCTGCCTCGAACTCACTACCCTGGTCAGTAATGACTCGTTCGGGGATCCTGTGCTTAAGTACATAGTGCTCCACGAATGCTCGGGCCACCATGAGGGCTGTCTTATCGGGGATGGCCACCGCTACAGGATAGCATGTGAAGTATTCTACCGCGACGAGAATATATCGGTTGCCCCGGTGGGATCGCGGGAATGGCCCTTGCAGGTCGATCCATTCCAGCTGATTTGTTCGACTGATGCAGAACAGTCTCAGGGGTACCTGGTATCACGCTGGTTTCGGCCCGCATTGCTGACACGCGCGGCAGCCCTGTACACAGGCGGCCACGTCTTGTGCTAACTTGGGCCCGAGGTACTGGTGACGCAGGGTCTCCCGAGTGCACCGTTCCCCGTCATGGCCCCCGAGTGGGTGGTCGTGCACCAGCTTTAGCAGCTGGGGTCGCACCTGGGCGGGAACACAGATGCACTCAGGCTGGCCGGCTTCGGTGAGCTCCCGCACAACCCCGTTCTGGACACACAACTGGGCATACAAACCACTCCAGGGTCCTGGTAGGGTGTCCTTCTTCTCCCGTAGGGCCGCTTCCACCGCCGCCATATCTGGATCCCACAGCTGGGTCCGTCTCAGCTGCTCGTCGTCCAGACCCGGGAAGGCACAGCCGACGTCCTCCTGGATCTGATCGGGTGGAGTTGAGCGACCCGTCAGGCCCCGGGGTGTGGGCTCTGTGCCCGCCGGGTGGTCCTCCGGGTTCCTGGTTCCTCTTGCCGGGGTCTCTGTGGCACATACTGCACTCTCTCCCGCGAGGGGGATTTTAGTCTCAGCACGCCTCCGGGGTCCCGCTGCTTGCCGGCAGCGTCCCCCTGTGAAGCACGGGCAGGCCTCCTCCATCCTTGTCTCAGCGCACACCGCGGGCCGCCTCGACAAGGCGTCCGCATTTGCGTGTGTACGCCCTGCTCGGTACTCGATTTGCAAGTTATACTCCTGCAACTGCGCCAACCATCGGGCCATCTGCCCCCGTGGTTCCTTGAACGTAAGGAGGAACTGCAGGGCATAATGGTCGGTGCGCATCCGACATTTCCGGACCGTACAAATACGGTCGGAACTGTTTACACGCGAAGATCACGGCATACAGTTCTTGACTGGTCATGCAATAATTCAGCTCGGCCCCACTCAGGGTCCGACTGGCATATGCGATGACCCGTTCTGTCCCACCCTGCACCTGTGACAGCACCACGCCCAGCCCACTGCTGCAGGTGTCAGTGTCTAAAATAAAATCGGTGGTGAAATTGGGGAAAGCCAGGGTGGGGGTGTGGGTGAGGTGGTCTTTGAGGGTGGTGAAGGCCGTCTGGCAGGCCTCCGTCCACTGATAGGGGTTCTTAGGGGAGGTGAGTTGGGTGAGGGGGAGTGCAATCTCACTGAATCCCTTTACAAATCGACGATAATAGGTGGCGAGCCCCAAGAATGATCTGATCTCCGTCAGGTTCCTTGGCCGTGGCCATTCCACTACGGCACGCACCTTTTCCGGATTTGTGCGCACCCCTGCCTCGTTTACTCGGTGTCCGAGGTACCCCACCTCGCGCTGCGCAAGGTAACACTTACGCGGCTTGAGCTTGAGATGGGCTGCTCGCAGTCGTTGGAACACCTCTCGCAGCCTGGACCAGTGTTCAGACAGAGACCTACTGAACACTATCACGTCGTTCAGGTAAATCAGGCATTGTTCCCACTGCAAGCCCCGCATCACCAACTCCATCAACCGCTGGAATGTCGCGGGCGCGTTAGTGAGCCCGAACAGAAGCACTCGAAACTCGAACAGTCCCATCGGGGTGGTAAATGCGGATTTTGGCCAATCCTCCTCCGCCATCTCCACCTGCCAGTACCCAGACGCCAGATCGAGGGTGGAAACATACCGCGCCCCTGCGAGGCTGTCAAAGGTGTCATCGATGCGGGTTATGGGAAAGGCGTTGCCGAGGGTAACCGCGTTTAACTTTCGATAATGAACGCAAAACCGGGTCTATCCATCCTTTTTCGTCACTAGTACGACTGGGGCAGACCAGGGGCTCGCTGAGGGCTGGATTATGTTATCATGGAGCATATCCATGACCGCTTCTTTGATCTGGGCCCGTTCAGGCGCGCCTACTCGGTATGCGGGGAGTTTAATGGGTCGGGCTGCACCGGTGTCAATTTGGTGCTGAACAAGGTCTGTCCGACCCACGTCTGAGTCGTGTGCACTGAACACGTCGGCGTACTCCCGCAGTAACCCGCGCAGCTGATCGGCCTCCCGCTTAGGTAAAACTGTCCAGGGTACGTGTAAGCATCAAGCAGGGGGACGGCCTCGGCTCGATGAGTCGGGCCGACTCGCCAGGCCAGGTCCTGATTGTCCTCGGGGCAGCTGGGGTCTCCTCTTCACCCTCCAAAAGACCACACGACCCAGTTTGTCCCCCTACCAGTTATTTCATTTACTGCGAGTAACCCGTTAACTACGTGTGATTGTGTGAGTCAGCAGGCAACCCCTAGCCTATCCTTCGGGAATCCTAGGCTCAATTCACCCTGCCTACCGCTCCGCTCCCCACTCTCGATTAAATCTCTCAAACTCACTTCTTTCTCACTTGTGCTTACTTCCACTCTGCTGCGCTGAACGCTGTAGAAGAACGAGGCTGTGAGTCGTCTCGTCACACGAACGTCTAAAACGGCTGACTCTGCTGCTCCGTGGACCGTGATGATTTTCAGAAGAAGTCTCCCTTGCTACGCTAAGCCTCACTATTTTATCGACCCAAAAGGCATTCAGATGCTTCCGCACCCGCGCCTGCCCTGTCCATTCAGAGGCCGAGTTATTCTCGTCTCTTTCACATTCGGATCCGTGACCGTATCTAAAACAAAAGGCATTCAGATGCTTCCGCACCCGCGCCTGCCCTGTCCATTCAGAGGCTGAGTTCTTCTCGTCTCTTTCACATTCGGATCCGTGACCTTACCTAAAACAAAAAGCATTCGGGTTGCTTTCACACCCCGTGCTGCCTTGTCCATTCAGATTTCGGAATGCTCCTGTCTCACTGTTATTGGAGTCCCTAATTCCACCTATGACAAAGGCGTACCACCGTTCCCACGCCCCATGCCGTGTGTGCGTGATTTCATCTGCGGTGGCTCTGCGGCCTCCGCCATGACCACGTAATTTTAATATCAGGTCACGGTGCTGCGGTGCATGTCAGCTACGGGGGGAGATCGCCCAATTTCCCGGGCGCAGGAATCCCTGCAGTCACGAAAGCTTGAAATCGAAATTTAACCGCCTCTACGTGGAGGGATTCCACATAACCTTAAGATCCTTCAACAAACTCCGGGATAAGAAGGCTCAACTAATCGAGTCTCTCACCTTTCTGAAGAGATGCCGCGACTCTAAGGTAATACCAACCGCATTTACACTAACCTCTATTGCTGTAACTTCTTCTAATGCAAAACGAATTCTAGCTAGAACTAGCATAGCTCTTATCTCGAAAAAAATCAGACTTACACGCACCGAACAAGATCATTTAGACAAGATACTCTATAAATCACACTTATCATTGACGGCAACAATGTCTACATCGGATTGGGAAAATGTAGAAAATATGACTGCCTCTTCAGCTGCCACTATGTCGACCAAATGTAAGGACAATTTGATTTCCAAATTCAACCGCCTTTCCAACAAGAAATCGGACCCACACACCGAAAAGATAGACGTTAACAAAGTCGTAATTAATCGCAGTAACAGTTCTATTTCTGATGAGCGCTTTGAATTATCTCAATAAAAAAATAGAGATGACATTGTCGTCCTCTCAGCCAACAAGGGCAATGCCACTGTCATCATGGACAAAAGAGAATTAACAACAAAATTCAGGAACTACTCAACGATGGCAGCTATACAAAAATAAGAAGAGACCCCACCAACAGCCTGGTTACTAAAACCAACAAAATCATTTCTGATTCAACAGCATTAATTGATCAAACCAAACAGTTCTCGTTGAAACCTTCTGTGGCCAGACCACCAGGATAATATGGCCTTCCAAACATACGCAAAGAAGATACACCCCTTCGTCCCATCGTCTCCACTATAAACTCCCCCACCAACAAACTGATTCGTTTTCTGTCTGTTATTCTGCGACCTTTCACAGTAAAAAACACCTCTGCGGTACTAAACTCTACTCACTTGGTATCGACAATCAAGGGTATTTCCCAGTCCCCAGACGACCTGCTTGTCAGTTTTGATGTGGTTTTCTTATTCACCAAAGTTCCGGTACCTGACACCATCGCAATCATTGAAGAATTGGTTCAACAAGGAATGCATACTGATGTACCCCCCTGGTGAGACATTGCTTAACCAACACATACTTCACCTGGAATGGAACTTTCTACAAACAAACTGAGGGCACCCCAATGGGCTCCCCCCTATCTCCGGTTGTAGCCAACGTATTCATGGAAAAAATTGAAACTGACGCCATCCAGACTGCCACTCTACGCCCGACCTTATGGAAGAGGTACGTGGATGACACTTTTGTCATCTGGCCACATGGCCGGCCTGCTCGAGACCAATTCCTCGACCACATCAATTCCATACACCCAGCCATCAGATTTACCATGGAGGTCGAAAAAGATGGCAAGCTACCCTTTTTGGATGTCTTAATTAAAAGGAGACCTGATGGTTCAATGAGCCACTCTGTCTACAGGAAAGCTACCCATACGGATGCTTACTTAAAACCGGATTCCCACCACCATCCATCCCAGAAGAACTCCCTCATCAAGACTCTATACCATAGAGCCCAATGCATTTCCGACCAGGAACACATTGCCAGCGACCTCAAGCACGTACACCAAGCTCTCAAGGCTAATGGTTACTCCGACTACACAATCCGCAAAGCCATCACTCCAGTCATGAAGAAGGATCCTCTTGAGGAGCCATTCAAAACCATCACCTTACCCTACATTGCAGGGGTCACAAATAAAATCTCCAAAATCCTGAATAAACACAAGATCCAGGTCTGATTCAACACAGTAGATAAAATCCGTCATTTGGTTCCGTCTGTAAAAGATGTGGTTCCAGACATACGGTACCCGGGCATTTACAAACCAAGTTGCCTCTGTGGTAGCAGCTACATTGGAGAAACCAAACGACATATCTCGGACTGCATCCGTGAACATAAAGCAGACTTAAAACACTGTAGGACTAACTCAGCCGTGGCAGATCACTGTTATAATTCAGTGGGCTCACATGACATTGACATCTCCAAGACGGAGGTTCTCTGCAAGCCATCCGGCTACCATGAGAGATTCGTTCATGAGGCCATCCACATATACAAACACAGAGACAATTTCAACCGAGAAGATGGATTCTGGCTTAGTAACCATTGGAAAGATGTTATAAACTATTTCGGTTCTTAATTGATTGTATTTTACGGTGACCTTCAGACCGCAGTCCATTCGCTGGCACTGCCTCTTAATACCTCTCACACCACGGTTAATGATATGGTTTATAGCATGTGGTATAATAATAAATAGTATAACATTGTAATGTTTAACATAATTCAGAAGGCAATATATTGTATCGTAATTGCATAGTGAATATACAGCAGTGTGGTATATAGTTGGGTTCATAGAATAAGACATAGTGTAATGTTACAAGTCCGATATTTTATAGTCTAAAGTATAGGGTAGTGTAAAGTAACACATTGTATAATTCAAAGGTGGAATTTGTCTATGAATATGATATTATACCATGTAGTTTAGATTGGAAGGTATAATACTGTATTGTATAGTAGTCCAGTTTATATCACAGTTATAATGCAACACAGGACAGAGCAGCGCATATTAGTTGCTCTGCTTTGGTATTTTCTTGTGCCTAGCCGCCACCCTCCTCAGCTCCGGAGGTGCGGCTGGGTAACATGCTAATTCATGTCAACTCTGCCCACACACGCTAATTCATGTCAACTCTGCCCACAGCGTTCACTCAAGCGCTGTCTTCTGGACAGACCTGTTTTTGTGGTGCCGCCACAGCGGAGCCGCTCCGTCGGGGCCGTGCCCACTGCCGTGACGCCACCACCGGGGAGCGACGACACCAACGCTGCGCACCCCTCGCCGCCCCCCGCATGAATGCACGCATACCCCACATAGGGCCCGAGGGGAAGTCACCTGACCGACAGGTTTTCGTCCAGAAGCCCCTGATGGGATCAAGCTTCATGGTTTCCTGCGGCCGGGAAATTGGGAGACCTACCCCCAAGGCTGACGTGCACCGCGGCGCCGTGACCTTGTATTATAATTGCATGGTCACGGCAGGGGCTGTTGAGCCACCGCGGATGGAACCACACACACGCAACACGGGTCAGTGGGCTGGTAGCGGAAAGCGGACGTCGAGGGGACCACTGCGGTGACGTCACCAGAGCTGGGATCCGACTATCAAAAGGGCGGGAAAATCCGGGCCCCTGATTGTACGAGAGGCCAAGGGGGCGAAACAGCGGAACTCATTTGTTTTGGGTAGGATAAAAGGAGGGGGATTCAGGCAGTAAGGGGGGGAAGTCCTTCAAGGCATCGAGATCAGGGGGGTGTTGGAGCCAGCCGTTCGAGTCGTCCGTGTGATGAGGTTCAACGCAGCCCAGCCCAATTCTCCATGGAGACGACCCACAGCATTGCCATTCCACAGCTTCCGGCGCATCAGATTGGGAGTAAGCGTAAGTAAGAGAGAGGTGAGTTTGGGCTAATTAATCAAGAGGGTAGAAAGTGGAGCGACAGGCAGTATAAATTGAGTCCAGGATCCCCGAGGGGTAGGCTAGTTAGTGTCTGCTGACCCACACAACCACATGTAGTTGAGCGGGTTATTCGCGGGGAATAAAATCGCCAGTAGAGGATAAACTGTGTCGTGTGGTCTTTGTGAG